CTGAGTGTTCTGCTAGCGCAACAGGGTGCCGCCCAACAGACACAGCACACAGTAACTATGCATAACCTTCATGTACATCGATGAAATTTGGATTGTGGGCCTATATTAACCCTTCAAAAGCCAGTGGTAACTGTATGTACCCTCTGCTTTGATAAACAGCAATTCTACGTTTTCCCTACGCAGTGTAGCCTTGTTTACAGGTTTCGTATGATTCATGATTTTCAGAGTAAAACGTGATTATTTCCTTATACACTATTAACCAATTTATTTTTTGTAATGGAAAAATGTTGCTTTCTTTGCAGTATGAACTGAATGTTTAAAAATTATGTTGATTAGTTCTGGATTCAAAGGGTTAACCCTATGAAGCCTAAGTTAGTCTAAATACTATTTAAAAATTCATTTTACCTACATGATATTTTCACCACCTTCTGTACACAGTAATCAGTTTGGCTGCATTACCAACTTTGTCTCATGCACTTAATATTATTCCTCACCTCACAGAGCATCTTCAAAATTCAATTCTTGATTTATCACTGTCATCTCACATCCACATATGATTGCAGTATTTTACCATACATTTAATCAATTTATTTTGCACAAATTCATATGTGCTCTACTAAATATATTTTACTTATTTATATCTGTAAAAATCATGCTTTATAATGCCAAGACCATGGGGTTTCCATTATCTGCTATGCTCTTCAGATGTTCAAAAAATATTGTCTTCTATAGCAAACTAATTTTACTGTTTAAATTTAATATTTGTATACAGATGATTACCATAATGCTGCTGACACTTAAAACACGTTTCCTCTAGGGTGAAAAATCTGGCCACGTGATTGAGTCAGTACTAGCTGAGTATCGAACCAACTTCTCCTGTGTGGGACGCGTGGCTGGATACTATGCAGACATCAGATCTGGCTGCCAGGTATGTTACTTTACAGGTATAGTCATGGAACTGGAAGATTTAATACCACTAACACCACAAACACCAATGTCGATGGGCACATTCAGACGCACAATTAATGCTCAACAGGTTCATTGGCTCATTGACCCACTGGCATAAGACTTTCTGTTTTAGTAACAGGAGATAACAGGAAATTATATAATACAAATCTTCATATATTTACTCATCTTCAAATTAGGATGATGAAATAAAAGAGGATGAGCTGTGTGAAATAAAGTGCCTTACAAGGACTCTAGTCTATATATCAGTGTCGTCTTAAAGGCAGGATAAGAAGAAAACTTTTCTGCTCCATTGATAATAAATGTTAAAATGAAATCAGGGAAATCACCAAGCCATTTTGACAAATTTATCAACAGTCCCAGCCATAATCAGCCAGTACTGACAATCATACTTGTACTCTTGGCAGCTGTATCATATGTGTGACACAGAGGGCCGACGTTTCACACACGCATGTCCCAAAGCAACCCTGTTCCAGCAACGTATGATGATCTGCGACCACTGGTACATGGTAAACTGTAACAATTCTGAGCATGACTACAGTGCCAATCTGCTGATAGGGCAGCATGACAAGCCCTTCATGAGCCCTGAAGAGCATCTCCACCATCACACACCTGGTACTGTAGACAAACACTAATTTACATTAGTTTTATGTTGCAAATTATCTGCACAAGTCCTTGTCCTGTTGCTCAGTACTTTATTTGTGTACTACTAATGCAGTCTATTCACCTCCTCCTTTACTCTCCCTTCTCTCTCTCCTTTTCTATTATTTTTTCTCTTTTACTGAATCTGCATTCCTTTCTTTCTCCTTTTATTCTGACCAGGGCGGGACATGCAGCACAAATGGAAGAGATGTAAAATTCACACAATATTTAACTCAGAAAACGGATGAGAGGATAATATCCAAGTGAATCTCAGAAATATATTAATGATGTGTGGTCTGGATTCATTTGGCTCTGAATAAGGTCCTCTTATGGACTTTGCTAAATGTCATATTTGCTTTTGTAGAATACCACTGTTTTAACTTGCAGTGTATTTCTTCACAACACAACAAAACCCAAGTTCTCTACAGGAAGTCACCAACTGGAAACAGCAACATTCAGGAGGCAACAACAATATAATCTCCAACAGTGAAGATCTGAGAGATCAAATTTCAGTAGGTGATCAATTACACAAGGATTCAGAACCATCTCGGCCATCAATCAACAGCACCTCACACAACAGAAATATCAACAAGTCACAACCTCGTGCATTAAGCCCTCCAAAATCTACTTCTGCACGCATGGCTGCAACACAGAAGCTTCTGGCCAATGAATATTCTGGATCAGACTATAACTTTCCTGTAAATTCCCAGACTCTTCCTGGTGCCTACACAGATAATCCCTTTTTCCAATCTTTGTTAATAAAAACAATAATGCCAACCCTACAAACACCAGCATATATTTCAAATAGTTCTGATAATTCAGAAGTTTCAAACAACCCTAAAGCTCAATATAATAAAGATAAAACATTCACAGAATCTCAGACATTTGATGAAATACAAGATTTAGATAACTTTAGGATCCCTCCTACAAGAGCTCTGCCCCAGCAGCCACTGCTTAGCATGCCAAAAGAATTCTCAAATTATTTGGGAATTACCAAAGTACACAATCTTCCACCACATTCAAGAGAACAAAATTTTCCTGATGCCTACAACAATTCATTCTTTCAGTCTCTGACAAAGACCAGAAAACTTTTGGTATCAACCTCAACAATGCCTCACAGTACTGAACAAAGAGCCACAACTGGGACAAGTATTAACGTAGATAAAAATGAGGATGATTCAAACATTGTACAACTCCACTTCCTGGACCCTCGCCAAATCTTCTTTATTCCGGAGTCAAATGAGGATTCAGATAAATACAATTTTGAAACACAAAACACCACAATGTTGTTCATCTCTGTACCAGTTTATTCACACAATCATGGCCAAAGCATTATGCATTTTCGACATGATAATGTAGTTACTGATGGCCAAAAACTGGACTGTCCTAGATGTCATCCACACTTCCTTCTCCCAGGGAGATGTCAACCTTGTGTGATTATTCGATGATATGACATTTGGTCAGAGCAGCAGTGATGGAACACTTGTATTCATAATTCTTGCCATTACATTATAGTGTATTTAATTGTAAAATAACTGCAGTAAAGAGTATCTCTGACATATGTTTCATGAAGTTGGATTTTATATGTTGTTCTGGTGAACAAAACAAATTTTTTAAGTCTTGCTATAGAGTATTAAAGTAAAACTAGTGGTTTTCTAAAAGAAGTTATAAGTATGGAATTATTCCAGGGTATAACAATTCAGGCCAATGAATTCTCTAAACTGAAACAGTATTCTAGCTGCAAGCAGCAGAAGGTACACAACAACAACAGCCCCCAGTCCTATGTACTGGCTAATCATATTTTGTCCACAAATTATTACTACTTCAAAATTTGTAAATGAATGTTTCTGTGAACTACTTTTTTTTCCAAGAACCTGAATTTTACTCAAGAAAAAACCACTTTGGTTGGACTACACCAAGGAAGACTGGCTGCCCACATTAAGTTTTTACACTCTTTGCTCAATGAGATGATTTTACAGCTAGAACAGGAAAGGAGAGTCAGTGCAATAATTCAAGTCAAGCTTCAATTTCATCCAACATTTTTTCTGTTAATACTTAATATTCTCATACTCATGTTTTGATTTCCCATCTGTTAACATGCCTGTTGTTCTCATTTTACTGGCAAGATTCTGAATAAGTGTCCCCCTGAACACTTCAAATGTTAATTACTGTTATTAAACACACACACTGAAATAATGTGTATCCTTTCCAACAGTCAATTACCAAACATCACATGGAATCCTGATTTAAACACTTATTCATAACAAGTAACAAACATAAAAGGAATTCACTCTATTATACAAAAGTGTTCAAGAACATTACAAAATACTATTAACTGAATTTTGTTTCTTACGAGACTCCATGTACATGTCATACTGCTCTGGAATATTCTTAAACTTCTTTATTTTGTTTCGAATTTGCCTCCACGTCTCTTGGTAATAGTTTTTAGGATCCTTTGCCATTGCCTGCAAATTACAAAATGAATGCAAAAGAAAAACTACTTTTTAGGGACAGCTTCATAGTGTTTATCTGTTTTCCTATTTGGTCAGATGTAACAAATCAAAAACAGCTGAATAGTTTTTATGAAATATGATAATACAAAGTTTTACTACAATTTGTCTACAATTTTGGTAAGAACTGGACAACAACGTACATTTTACACAAAGACGTACATGTGCTTCTGCACATGAAAGTGGCTGGGTAGGGAATCCCTAGGCTACCTTGGTTACTACAATTACCAGATGAATTCCCAGCCAGCCATGCAACCATGTGATGGAATCCTCTGTGATTACTTCACCCAGGCACCCTGCCCACATTAAAGTCAAATTATAGTAAACATGCCACAATTATTACACTAGGTGTACATTTCCTCTTGTTGTATAAGACTGTAACTAGGTATGTGTTCTGATCCACTTAAATAAAATAATAAAATCTACATGTGGCCTGGCTGCTATAAACTGTGATTATTTTTAATGTGCAGAAGTTATTTATGTTCACTGCTATTTCTAATCAGTGTTTTTATAGTGCATAAAATAATCTACATCCACCACTGGTTTATTCCCTGGCAACCAACTAATGTATAAAGTAATCATTGTATGATTGCACAGAAGTAAATAATATGAAAGGAGTATGATGTCGTTTTGCACTTTTGGTACCTTTCTTTGGGATGCGTGTTCAATGGGAATATATATTCATAAGAATGTCACAATACATACATAATTTATTTTAGAAGAGATTATTTTCAGGAGAAAAAGAAATTGAAAAATGAGTGCAAGTGTATGTTTGCCACTGTGCATTGTCCCCTAATGAAAGAGGCCACAACCACTAGCTATGTTGGGAAATACGCTTAATGCATTCCTAAATCTAATTCAAAGTTTATTACTGTAACATACCTTGTAATCATCTTCATATTTATCCATGAGATATGTCAGCCAAGTAATTTGATTGTTTGGCAGTCTGAAGTTCTTTACCCTTGGAGCCTTAGCATCCTCCTCCAGTCCCTTGGCAACATATGTTTTTATAGGAACACTTATCTCTTCATCACATTTAATATTCTCTCCATCACATTCCATTGGGAGCAGCAATTCCTTTGAACTTGGTATTTTAAGTGCCTTGTTTGAATCATATGCCAGTCCCATGTCATTTAAATTTTGCTCAACAGTTCTTGTCTGTTCCCAAGCTTTCTTTACTTGTGGACTGAAAATTAAATTAATGCTAATCATAATTTGGAAAGAAACAGCTGATGATCTTTAGTGTTTGGAAGTTGGAACTTAACTGTAGCATGAATGTACAGTTATGTATGTTTTGCTAGTAAGGAAGGTAACATTGAGAAATCAACATTCATCACAGAAAGTTAATATTGATAATCTTCAGGATGTGGGTATACTTGTTAAGACGTATGTAAGCCTGATTTGTACAGAGTTTGTTACACATTCTGATAGTTGTAAAACATTTTCAAAGTTTCAATACGAGTTACATCGAATTTTGGCATAGGTAAGAAAAGCATTGAGTTTGTTATAATCAACAGGACGGAACAGTAATTTAGCACTCCTTGCTTAACAGCATAGCTCAAGTTAACTGAGTGGCAAATAATGGAAATAAAAAAAGTTTTCCAAATAATGTTCCATCCTATTTCTGTAATGATTGCCCGATGCAGGTATAACCTAAAAGAACGCTACATACCACGTTATGGAAGGAAGTTTTGTCCTCCTATTCTTCTTCCTGTTAACACTATAACGATATTGCTTCTTTCTCTTCTGTTTCCTTATCTTAGTCATTCTTAAGCCGAGCTAAATAAATGATCCGAACAAAAACCGCTTTAACCTACACAACCATGCACAAAACGATACATACCACAGATAACTTTACATCACAAAAAATACCACTGCAAATTACCAACTTAACCGTTTATCATCGCTCCGAATTGCGAGGTTCTTGGCGAATCGCGACATCTTTGGTGAACAGTGTTTATTTCCATCAAGTAACTCTACTCCGCTGTTGATAGATGTGGCTGTTACAATCTTTATTTAAATATTTCCATGCGCAGCGTCCATTGGCGAAAACGTGTAAAGGGAATAAACAAGTTAAACCAAGGGTTCTCAATCTTTCACAACCTAAGATCACATTCACCCTTTCTTATGAACTCACTGACTGCTAGGTTATAAATGACAATGTAAACTTCACAGCAATTTATTAAGAATGCTATTAAGTTAATATAGGATACTAATTCAAATGGTACGCAATTATTATCTGCACAAAATTACTCATTTGTTATTCTCATTAATAATTTTGTTAAAATTAATACTTACTTCATTATACAGGGCAATATATTACAAAAATGTATGCAATCCACACAAAAACACACTGACATGCTGCATGTACCCTCAGATTAAAAGCCTTTAGGTTAAATGTTTCGAAAAACTCTACACAGGTGTTAGCATCTCATAGCCTTCTATGGCTATTTTCTCCGGTTACAGACAAAATATGAGGTACATAGTTGCCTTTTCACAGTATGAAGTATAATTTAAACATTCCTGCACACAGCATTGTTTCTGTAACTTTGGAATCTTTAATACCCCTACAGAGACCCTATAGTAATAAAATCATTCTAATTAGATTTCATATATACACTTTTCATACCATTTCTCCTTGTCAGGATCACCATTTGCAGTTCTTATAAAACAGGATAAGTAATTAAATATCTTTAATTTGTTCCATAATTGATAAATTTGTCCAATAAAAATTACAATATTTTACTCTAACCATTCCTTCATATAAACACATTTCTTAGGATTTACAGATCCAACATCGCTACAGTGTCGTAGAACCTGAAATGAAAAGCAGTGGAAATTGTCTAACTATACAAACAAGTGGACTCTACCACTGATCAGATTTCAACCAACTATTCTTAACAGGTTAAGTTCCTGCATGCTTACTCAAACACATTAAAACCTCCACAACAGAAATAAGCCCAAAAATTGTTCTCCTGTGAATTTTAATATGGGCTAATAAATGATTTAATATGATTCAATTAAATTATATCATAAATTTTCTATGAGATCAACATCATATGTAAGTGAACTACATATCAAATGATAAGTAAAGAGATTAAATAATACATGTAGGTAAAAGTATTTGAACTGACTAATAAAGGTACTCATTTTAAACTTTGTAAGACATGAGTAATCACATCACTTTGTTATGAATAACTGTATAAAATATGATATTATGATATAAGTACAAAATGTTTATAGCAAAGAACCATAACATAATAAGTGATGCTAAACAAAACACAACAGAGTCCTTACTATACTCACTGGACAAACTCCACAAGGAATGCGGACAATGCCTGGTGCTGGCAGTAAGGACTCAACAGCTCGATACAAATGGCTCCCGTCTGTTGTTACACATCTCTCAACTTTGCCATCATACAGAAGGGTATCTAGAATTGTCTCCATATCTTCTACTGACAACTGGACCTTCAATAAAACATTAGGGTTATAGTATTTTAAATTTTGAAGTCACAGCATATAATATTTTTATTCAATAACAAATGAGACACAACCCCAAGCCTGTTTACTGATTAACCTTACCAAGTTTTCGCCTCTGTTTTTGCCTCATTATTGCACCTAACCAAGGCCAGTAAAACTGTAAATCCATCTAAAGTTAATCTTCCATTTCATAAATACTTACACATTTTTCTAACACAGTATACTCTACATAAACAAAATAAAATCTCCTAGAAACAATTTTGTTACAGCTCTCTTAAAGTTACCTCTGTATAAGAATCAAATATAAAATTGTGCAGCAGGTCTAGGGAACCTGCTAACACTGCTTTTTGGTGACATTATTATAACAATCGCCTGTGGATTGGAACTTGATACAATCTGTTTTACAAAGATAATAACATTTTCTAATATACACAATTTCAGAATGAAATTTCTGCCAGTTCAATGTTACAAACAAAAATCAGAAGCATCTTAATGGTATCTACAACAAACTGGAGCTAATGATCACACTACTGATTGTATGTATCAATACAGAACAGAACAATTAAAACTGAACTGTGCCAAAATATTAATTTATAACAAATACAATTTAAAATTTTTGGTCCCGAGGAAAGCATTACAAAGTGATAACACAGAAAGTTATATAAGTCATTAATTAATAATACGAAGTAAAAAGTAATATGAGAAATTCCAAAATAAATACAGTATTCCTTTAGAAATAATCATCCCATAAGGATAAACACAATAATGCTATAAACATGAGGTAATGCATTTGCCAGAAAAAATTAATTACCTTACTTATTCCAAGTTCACTTATATACTTCCACACATCCTTGGATGATGCATATGAAATATTCCGAGCAGCAATGGGACCTCCTTTGCAGTCTCTGGTAGCCTCTAGTTTCTGATGCAAGAACCTGTAGCACTGCTGATTGAGCACATCCACAAATTCAGCCTCAAAGTCTTGATCACAGTACCAGGCTCCTCCAGTCACTGTTCTGTCAGGTTCCAAATTATAAAGCATGTATACTTTCTTTTTACTGGCCTATAAAAATGAATGAAAATAAATATGATACAGAGGCACATATAGAGATAGTAACAGACCTCAGAAATATAAACTACAAAGTAATTCAGCTAGGTATAAAGCAATGCTATTTCATTATCATACAATGCTGAGACTAGACACTTAATTGTTCACAGGGAAGTTTCAATAGCGCATCCCTTCATTAATAAGAATAACGAGGTCTGTCCTATGTTGTATCACATAATTTTTAAGGGTGTTCTTATCTATAATCATTCACCATTTATTCCACCATCTTCAACAGTGTGAGTACCTTTTTAAAGTCGTTCAACAGAACTTAGATAGAGTTTATGCTATTATGATTTATGAGTATGAAAGAAAAGTCACATATGAATTACTCGTTCCTTAATTTATGTTGTTTGCAACACAATTGAGAGTAATACCCAAATAATTCAGTGACACTTTATTGCAATATCTACCTTTTTTTTAAAAAAAATCAGAATGTCCTGACATCCAATGAATCATTGTTTCTCCATCCAAATATATTATTGCATAGCAACACCTAACTACCATATTTTATTAGCAGATCATTTACAGTCTATTTATATGTTATAATAAAACAGGATTATGGTATCATCAAGTGTATGTATCCATGAGCATCTCTGACCCCCTATTAATTCTTGAACAAATAGACTTAATTAAATCAGACATGAAAACCATGCTACTGGAAGCCACCACACATTCATTTTAATTTCCATAAATAAACGTATCTACAAACTTCAAATAAGGTCTATTTGTGCCTTAATAATTACAAATATTAACATTACTAAAACCTTTTAGGTAAATGCTGTTCAGAAACATGTTAATAATTTGTGTAATTAGTAATTTATAATTTCCTCTAGCCCTTGTATACAGCTGGAACCATTTAAAGGAAATAAATGGTCAAAGTTCTTTGCAGATTCCAATTAATTTTCTTAACTTCTTAATTCTTAGCTTACTGAGTTTCTTTTTTCTTATTGCCTTTTGCTTAATGCAACTTAAATGCCTACCAACAGCCCAGCATATATGTCTCTTGTAAGCAAAAGTTTTAAACCCTCTGGAACAAAGGATTTAGCAATTTAAATATTTCCAGGCTGACATTAATCATAAATATACTTTGAAAACCTGATAAAATTAAAATTATACTTACAGACACAGACTTCACAGCTTTAATTAACTTCTTGTTTTCAAGAATTTTCAATATCTTATTGAGCTGTGTAGGAATCAGGTTGGACTTGAATCTAATGTCTCGAATCCAGATCCCCTTGTTACCAGCCTCTTCAATGATACTGTACACAATTTTCTCTTCATTATCTGCACCTTTTACCTTCTGGATCCTAGATGGATCTTTTAACTTATATAGAAGTGTCCCACCTTGATTAAACAAATCAAAATATCCCTAGAACGAAGAACAGATAATTATAAAATACTTGAGAAAAGACATCTGTATAAAATTATTATAATAAAAGAACACACCTGACAGTGATGGTAGCCTGAGTATTCAATATACTTGGTTGCCATGAAAGCTTCAGATCATACAATTTATGTTTCTGTTAGAAATAGATACTGTGTTTGTGCTATGACATATTTTATATACTTGGCTTGGGCCTATGAATATTACAAGTATCTATTCATGCTCAAAACTGTAAAAGAAAAAAATCTTTTTCTTTTACTTCAGTATTTTATATTCTTTTATTCATATCAAAATAAAATTACCTGTGCCAGTAATTTATTTATGATGCTAGCACGCTGGTCTGGCCGGAGATCAGGTACCTCATTCTGGATATCTTTATCAGATATACCTTTCCCTGAACCTTTGGCAAGTGCTAAAATTCTGAACACAAAATGAAAATCATTATCTCTTGAAAATGTGCCAAGCCACAAAGAAATGCATGTCAATATGTTTAAAATTAACAAGATTTTATAAAATGCACACTTTCCGATGTAAAAAAAACTCCCCTCACCTATGCTCGCTAGATTCCAAGCTTGACAGTTGATCATTTCCATTCCGCACAGATTCCTCCGGTTTATTTGTAGTCATTGTTGCCAAAAACAAATATATAATTGCAACCCAAAACTAGTAACAACTACCTCTTTGTCATCAGACCCACAGATTATAACAAATGTTAAATCCCACAGTTCTGTACATAACCTCTTTATGGTTAAAGGAAAGTATAAAGTCTATGACAAGGCTTACTCTCATTGTTATCTCTGGTCGTAACATTTGTGATGGTGTAAATAGTAAACGTTTTCATACTAATATTCTTATTTCTGCGATGGCTGACGACAGTATAAACAACTGCATAGACGTTGATGTCGGTGCTTGGAACAAAATGTGTACAACTCTTGCGAATGTACGATAAGAACTTTTCATACAACTGAACTATTTACGTTTCGTTCCTAACCTCAACAGCAGGGTTCGTAAAAAGATTAACTTCATCCTGTGGTAAATTGAATTTTGGAGTAAAAAATAAAACTGTATTATGATTAATTATACACTTCAGTTTTCTACGTAAAATTTAGGGACAATGCAGTTTTCTACTTACACAGAAATGTACAATAAACAAGTAGGAAATTGAACTAGCCCGTTAGTTGCACAACCCCCCCCTCAAGTTTACTTCATGACATTTGCAACCAGTAATAAATCTCTGCCTGGGATCAGTCTATATAGCAAGATCCTAATTGATTGCCAGTTGAACTGGAAAATTCACATAGATTAGATAATGTGGGTTCAGCATGCTTTTATTGCTTGCTCAAGTTGTGGTCATAATCTTGTTTGGGTAGTCAAAAACAATGAAGGTTTCCTCTTGCAGAAGAAAATAATCAGAATTATAGATGACGGTGACAACCACGAATTTATATTAGTCAACATCTCTACACGTTAAAGATGCCATGCTTTTTCAGTCACAAATACAGGCTGAATAATATGTATGCAACATCAGCACTGAGTAATTTTTTTTGGGACAACCTGTACAGACAGAATGTTCTAGAGAAAAGAGGCAAATCTTTGTGTGGTGTTAGCAGATCCCTGGTGATTTCAGGCTGGTTTTCGAGATGGTGCAGCAGCTGGAAGGGATGCAGTTTTTCAAAAAGGTTTTGACACTGGATATGCTGAAGGATACCAAGCTGCATTATCATTGGGTTATTTAAAAGGTGCCTTAAGGTGAGCCCAGCACTGGACTTGATAAATAGTAAATAAGCTGTTATCAGGTTAAGATTGAAAAAGAGTGACTGAAACCTACATGAGAACATACATGCAAACTCCTCACTTTGGCATGTGTTGCAGGTGTCTGTGTTGATAGCTTGTAATGTTTACCACACTTACACAGAGCCAGCAGACAAAGCCATTGTGCCTTGTACTTATGAGCTATTTGAGTTTGTGTTGCCTCATTTCTTGGCTTTTTCTTTATTATTTAATTATGCTGTTTTAATGGCATATGGAAATAATTACAATTATGGTTAGCTTGAAGGGTTGAAACAGCCTGCAAATACTATATCCTTGCTTCATGCCAGGGGGAAATATTTTATACTACTGTAATTTGGTAGGCCGAAACTTGAACAATTCTGTTGCAGCATGAGTTGAGCTCCGTAATATATGTCACAATAAGTATCTAAATGGAACAAAGACTTTTATGGCTTATATTTAATCGAGCATTAGTACCATGTAATTTCACTTAAGTCAGAACATGTTAGTTTCACTCATCCCTTTTATCCAGTTTTTCCAGCACTGAACCTGTTTTATGAAAGCAGGATTTGAGGTTCTCACAGTGGTGAGTACCTTCTGGGTTGTAAGCTACGCAGTCTGATAGAAGTTTACCATTGTTTCAAAGGTCATCATCAGGGCCCACACCATATATCATTGAACAACTGCGCATGAGCAGTTTTGAATACAGATGTGTAAGTTACTGTTTACATGTAGTGACATACTTTCCACATTCCAAAGGAGGAAAATTCAAAGTACTAAAACTAGTGTGTGGGAGAGCAAAAACTTTGTGAGGATCGGGAGTTCGATAAATAGAGACCCTGTACGCACATCAGTACCAAGTATTTTTTAAATTACAATTCATGTTCTTTATTCCAGCACAATCATTCATCATACGGAGATGGCCACTGATTCTGCAGTTAGTGTATTAAACACTTCTTTAGAGAAAACTTCAGTAGGCATGTGTCAGTTGTGTCAGACAAATCCTACTAAAATTCAGGATCACAAAGGAATCGTCGTTACAAAATCAATGTCAGACATTATTGGTAATCAAAGAGATTATATAAGAAATGCACTAGACAAAATAGAAAAGGACAATTCCCATTTGCTAAACGAATGGAGTGCGACACCAAAGGAATCAACGGGAAGGATAAATTAGGACTTAGGTATTTAATATATTTCTTTAATATGACAGAGAAGGCCTGGATAATTTCAGTTGTATATATTCTCACTAAAGTGAATTAATACATTTAAGTCCAGTATTTGAATAAAAATGTTTACTTTAATTTATTTTAAGTGTTTTACTGCGTTGGAAAAAATTTAAGTGAGTGAAGCCCACAGCAAATTTATGTATTTCCTGCTTTTTTTTTCCAAGTGAAGGTATGTATTGTGAAAATTGAAGAACCTTTCTATTCACTTTATAAATAAAGACCTTCTGGAGTACCTTCTTTCTTCCTATAAAGAACACTTTCCTTAGACTTCCGAAAATCCTCGTTTGTTACCTTCATCCGTCTTTCTCGCAGAGCCATCAGACCTGCTTCTGTACAGATTGCCTGAAAAAGTTACTAAAATAAATAACACTGTTTTCTGATGTGATACAAACAGAACTTATGAAATATTAAAGTAACATTTGGGTCAATGGAGGCTTACTGCTTAGTTATGAATGTCCCACATCAGTAACACATGCTGACAATGTTGCAAATAGATCTGCATGACTGGCATATGCATGGTCAGATAAAGTAAATACTTCAGGGTACTGTTGAGGACAATCGTACACAGTGGTATGAGGTTTAATGCTCTAGGAGCCATGCCATAAACATACTGATACAGCATGCTTATGCTATAAGTCTTTAAAGGTAACATGATAATATTCACATTTTAAAATTATCCTCCCATGCATTCCTAGGTCTCCAAAGAGGCTTCTTATTAGAGTTACTTATATTGTGAATGCCATTTTGATTTACTGGTATAATCCACAAATACCTAAACTTTTCCACATTTTCAAAGGATTATTAGCTACCATTACATTATGAATAAAAATCTCACCTTAATATCAGCCCCAGAGAGATCATCCTTGGACATGATAAGCTCTGTCAGATTTACATCTTGAGCCAAAGTCATACGTGACGTATGGATGTTGAAGATGCGACGTTTTGTTTTCTCATCTGGCAGTGGGAATTCAATCTTCCTGTCAATTCGTCCAGGCCTTATCAAAGCCGGATCCAAAGTTTCTATTCGGTTGGTAGCCATTACAACCTTGTAATAAATTATATAGAACAAACATTTTAACATTAATATTAAAATTCTGAGTCTATTTATTAATAATGTAATATTAAATATAAGATTATACAGCAGCATCATATTGAGAAAAATTCTAAAAAATTCTAATAAATAACATAAATAACACTATATTCTGGAGAGCCACACAGTTGTAATTAGATATGCATTTGTTATGACTGGTACTTGCCAGCAACCATTTTTATCCTCCAGTTTTAATTAAATACTTTTATGTTGAACACAGTGAAGTGATGAAACTTCCAGGTAAATTATTTTTAATAGCAATTTACACAATCAGAACTCCAGAGTTAACAACAATGCAGTAATAAGAGAAAGGATATAACAGCCTGAAGATGTATTTATAACCTGAAACACGTCATCTGAAGTGATCTGAATATAAGACATGAAGTGAAACTGTAGTGAAAAGATGATACTTATTATTATACATGTTTAGCTGTTTTCAACTACACTTTCTTACCTTAACATCTCCTCGAGAATCAAACCCATCCAACTGGTTCAGTAACTCCAACATGGTTCTCTGAATTTCACGCTCACCACCAGAATTTGAATCGTAGCGTTTCGTTCCAACAGCATCTATCTCGTCAATAAATACAATGGAAGGAGCATGTTCTTCTGCAACTCTAAACAGTTCTCTGACCAGCTTAGGCCCATCTCCCTAGAAATACAAGCAATGTGTTATTTTAAATCATCTATTATGTCACTTTGGTTTCATAATCAGAGTATAAATGTCAGTAACCTAAACACAATGATAACCAATGAACTACACTAAACATATTAAATTTAGTATGGTGGGAGATGGTAGACAAGCCTACAAGTTTCTGAATGACACTTCTTTGATGAATGTAAGCACTAACACAGAAACAATGTGAAAGTTATGTTCATGGCAAAGAAAAGAATCATGGTATATGTTTAACAGCTGCCACAAAATGGCATGCCATTAATGCATGATGTGCATATGCTATGAGTACTTACCAAATATTTTTGAATTAGTTCTGAACCAACAACTCTAAGGAATGTGGCTGAGGTTTGGTTGGCGACTGCTTTAGCCAGCAAAGTTTTTCCAGTACCTGGTGGACCGTAGAGAATAACTCCTTTGGGAGGTTTAATACCCATTTCTTCATAATATTCTGGATGGGTAAGAGGGAGCTCTACAGATTCTTTAATCTCTTGAATTTGTGTATCCAAACCTTCACAGGAATAACAAAGTGGAAGAAAATATGTAATATGAATGTCAGTCAAGGAATTAGATGTCTGTTGTATGATTTTCAATTAAGCAAAAAATATATTCACCAGATCCAACAAAATATATTTATCATAAAGTTTGGCTGCACAATTCTGAACTTCAAACAAAAACAGCTGACACTATAAACAATTTCAAAATATTTCTCATCATCACAACACAAAAGTATATATTCTCAATATTCTGAAAATGAGTTGTGTACTGTCTATTCACAATGGTTGAACCTGTTTTAGAGTAAGAGGAAATAAATGGATATATCTCTGAACTTCTGTAACCCAAGCCTTAAAAGACACCAGGAAATTCAAAGATGCTAAAAATGAGTCAGCCAGTTGGTTTGCTTAATTTAGTGTAATACGTGGCAATACTTGCTTCAATTTACAGTAATGTAGACCTTTATAACTTTAAGATGGAAGTCTTCTTTTTTAAAAACAGAAAATTGTTTTGTTTTATGTACAACTTACCCTCTTATTATCCAAACATTTTCCTGAGCATTTTATTTTCATATACCTGTAATTTATGCTCTTTCCTCAAAGTAACAATGTTTCATAACCATAAAAAACAGATGACAACCATGTTACATTGATCTTTGGTGTTTTGGAATGTTGGCAGGATGACAAATTTGAACTGAGTAGTTAATAATAAGTATTTCTTTTAATTACATCATTAAACTTATTAGTAATGTTACTGTCATTCCTAGATACCTAAAACTATTAAACTTTTCAAATGATTTATCATACACAGTTTTGACACTGCTGCTGATTTTAGTTCTTTGAAAGCTCATGTATGTAGTTTTATCTTTATTTATTTCTGGATCAATTTTTTTGTTAGTCCTTAAGAGAATGTCCACATTATGGTTTGTACTTTTCACATTTTTACCCAAGAAATTAAAATCAAATGCACAAACTATCACAGAAACTAGTGGAGAATATTTTACTTAACACCCAACCCTTATACAGTTCCACCTACCTCCAATATCAGCATATGTTTCTTGGGGAGCTTTCTCTAACTTCATTACAGTGACCATAGGGTCTGTATCATCTGATAAAACACCAACCACTGCATGTACCTGTCAGAACAAACCAGTACCAACTCTTTGTTTACACACAGTAAAGTAATGCTCAAAAGCACTTAATCACAATCAATTATGATGCTTATGTGTATCTGACCTTTATATACAAAGTCCATTATTACAAAACTATAAATATTTTCAAGAATGTCTACACACAGATAAGTTTCTTGAGAAAATATCTGACTGTCTTCAATCATTAAAGGTTAGTGATTACATACATACACATTTATTTATTTATTGAAATAATCAGTCCCATTATTTGTCAACTGTCATAATAATGTGAATGTCACAACAGTATCTGACCTGATCATATGAGTTTTATCCAGACTAAAAAATAATCAAAGATTTTAACAAGCTCACCTTATGATTCAGCAATACAGAACAGCCAGGCTCTAACTGATCTTTATCAACAAAAGAAAGGATACTGACATAATGTTCACTTCCAACAGAAGTGGAAACAATGGCATGATTGTCATCAATAATTTCCTCCAAAGTTCCCACAGACATGGGTGTCCCTCTCAGATCATCTACTTTGGATCTCTCTTCCTGCAAATAAACATACTGTCAATTACTCAAAGAAATCAAAATGAAGTAATTTTTTTAACGTTATACTTTCACTTTTGGAAATGTGCCTTTCTACAAACAGAGTCGAAAATACACATTTAAATAACCATACGCTAATTCAATTACAAGTATAAGAAAATCAGTTCCAGATGTTTTCTTTCACATACTAAGAATTTCTTTTATGCAACGAAACTAACACTGGTAGCAGAACCCCACAATTTAACACTGCTAATAGCAATGCCCATCACTGCAACTCTTGTGTAACTACCTATGTGTGGCCACCATCATAAGTATATATCAAAGTTGAAATTTCCACAATACCAAACAATAGTAACATGCCTGCAAATGGTCTAACAAATCTTTCCAAAATACACAAACAGAATATAGATTAAGGCTTTAACAAAACATAAAACTGCATTACAAAGGACCATAAGTAAGTACTCAGTGTAAAAGTTTATAGACAATGTGTAAATTATTAAGCCTTATGCCGTTACTTTATTTGAATGCCAGTTCATTTATGGCTGTAAAAATACATTCTATATATCTGTATAGTGGTCACATAATGTGAAGAGTTTTAAGTAGCATATAAAGTCACATGCTGTTGACAATTTTATTTTGAGTGTGATTTGACATTTGTGGCAAGATTTCTCAGTTTTAAATAGTTATAAGATTGCAAGTGTTTTGTAGATATAATATTGAGTATCTGAATGATGTGTTGGTAATTTTTATTCTCATATATACATAATACCTTAACCCACATAATTAGTTACCTTAAAATTACATTTTAAGCAAAACAATGAAAATATAATGCACAGCTAATAAGTTAAAAATTATGTATAACTTCCACATATTCTAAAATATGCAATAAATTACCTCAATCTTTTCTTCCTGAGGTTTAAGTCTCTCCTGATTACGAATAAATTCCTCCTCCATGAGAAGATAATCTTTGATTCGTTCCAATTTCAGAAGTTTCAGGCGACATCTTGTATGTGGTGTCACTGAAAATTTAAGCAACCATTTATAACTAACCTGAACTTGTTCAATGATATTTTTTTTTAAAATGAATGCATTTAATTACAAAGAAAAATAAATTTAAACACAAATATGAACACTCCAAACAATTTAAGGTTGACCAGAACAGTGATCTGCAATATTTTTAAGCATCACATTATATTATATTTGCTACAAGCAGTTACACACATTACACAATATCAAGGAAGAGAGGTAGGACACAACCCATTCTCATTTGTAGTTATTACTAATAAAGTGTCAATATATTATATCAATTATATTAGACAAGATGACTTCTTGCTTCTGGATCAAGGTATAAAGAAGTTGAAGCAGCAATAAATGAGTATCTCCTATCTCACTATTTTTACTCCAAAGAATTATCTCAATCAAATATTTTCAGCTGTTATAACTACATGTAAGCAATAGTGGTTATGCTTTCTTGTTCAATTATTTTTGCAGTAATACAGTAGTTGAATCTAAATTGCAGTCATAACTATATAATTTATATTTGTATTAGAAACAAGTATTGTATTTGTGGTGACATGTTCTACATCCTTGACTTAGGCATACAAAGGATATATGGAATGCAAATAAATCCTATTCTATTCCCCCGCTACTGTCCTCTCCTTAACAACCTAGCCTGACATCCTAATCAACATTCAAGGTTCTTCTGTACATGGTCATTAAATAATCGTATATAATATATTTACTGTGTGTATGTAATACAATCACGAAACTTATGCATCACAAAGTTGTTAAAATCAACGTCTTTAAAATCATTCTGAAGATGACGATATTAAATATTCAAAGATTAAATATCAAAGTTAATGACAATTTTACCCTGAGGTAATTTCATGGCTGCATCTGGGCCTTTTGTCCTCCTCCGTTTTTTACCAACACGTGTAGGAATAGGAGGCTCATATTTCTTCTTTTTATCCTTGTCATCTCTCTTATCTCCTCCAGTTCCTCCACCGCCGGACTGATTCTGACCCTGTCAAATAATAAAGTATTTATGTCAACCCAACAAGTGAATAACCTTAACCTTAATTTGGTGGGTGAAACAACTGTTTATGAAATACATCACTTGCTGTTTATTTTATGCACTAATAATTAATTACCTACTCAAACTTCGGAAAATAAGCACATACCAATTAAAAACAAAAAACGAATCTTACCATATTAACCTTCCACCAAACCCAAATACGCAACTTCACGATCGACAGCCTTCTAAAAACCAACTTACGCAAAGCTTAAAAATACCAAAACAAAGTACCCTACTTATGTTGGATCTCATAAGACAGTATCATCGATGCCAACACACGTTTATGTTCGCTGCTATTGCCAACTACCTGGAAATTATTTGCTTTCTCGTAACTATCTACTAAGAGATTAATACTGGTTTATGCTAATACGATTTTTTGAGAACTGGTAACCCACATGCCTCGCGCTACACAATAATAATTGACAAATTTAATTACTATCAGCAAAACTAAACATGTTTGTATTTATATGGTATGGAATACCTCCTCATTCTAGTATATTATCACTTTCTGAGAGCAACAGTAGCAACACAGCTGTTGTGAACTGGTGAGATGTGAACAATGTTGGCAGCACTTGAGGTATGATGTAAAGTTTTGTCACAATAAGGATAATTGAAAAGTAAGTTATTCATTTTCAGCAAAATGGAAAATAATAACATGATGGCTGTACAACATGTTTTGAGGATGGTAACTAGCAAATCATTGTGACCTGACATGTGAAATTTATGTGCTGACCATCTTGTAATGAATTTGTTAATAGTACATTTTAAAATCTACACTGTCTAATCTTACACAACCCTAAAATGCCCTGTGCCAACAGACCTTTTAGTATCTCTACTTATCACCACCATCTTGTTTTAAAAGAATTAATGTCTAAAAGAAATAAGGGAACAGTCCCCTCCGAAATGTTTAGCTCATATCAATACACACTACAACAATTTCAAGTACTACCATTTAAAGTACCAAAAAGTTTCATACACTGTGAGGCTCTGGGAAAATGCTGAATCCCAGCTACAGTAAACAAATGGGAACCAGGTATAAACAATCATTTAAGCTGCACCACCTTGTGTATATTTCAATATTTTCATTAAAATATGGCAGTTGATAAAATATATGATAAAAATTACTCTTGTATAATATTTAAAAATCATATATCTGACAGCACAGTATGAAAACAGAAATCAAAACTTGCATTGTTTCTGTATAGATCATTATAATGGGAATGCTGTAGTAAGTTTGTATTAACAGGACTGCACTGCTGGTGAACACGGCACACTCAAATTTATGATGAGGTAAGGGATAGCATAAGAATGATTGGTATGTGGGTATGGGAGCTACTGAAATATTGTCACAGATTTGTTTGAAAAAATGTACATGGATTTTTATATCAAATTTGCTATGTTGCTGATGGATCATGACAACATGAAACGGTCTTATATTTCAAATAAATCACTGTAGGTATGAACCAATGAGTTTTATTCTTGAACTCCCATATTTTCTCAGCTAACACTATGTCAAGTAGCTTGAAGAAATGCACAGTAAGAAAAATTTAAATAATCTCAAACAGGAATATACTTATCAACGTGTGAGTTCAAAGTATCCACTAGATAGGATGTTGGATGGCCCCAAAGCCATGCTGGACTTGGTGGAAAAGAGAAATATCCTTGCCAGGAATCTAAACCCAGTAGCCCAGCCAATAGCTTAGTTACTATACTGTTAGAGTTTCACTTAAACTTTTAAGTAAATTTAATAAAAGTTAATGTATGAAAAATAATATTTGCATATCAGACCCAAAAAACAAAAACAAAATACAGTCCATACAGTAGTTCGAAACACCATCTACTTCCTATCCAATTTTTCTATAAAAGAAGCCTGTTCCTACCAATAAAATCTGACGATCCAAACTCATAACACTAATCTAATTCCTTAGCCTGATATATTCTATTCCAGACAGAGATGTTAAAACATCAACTAACTGCATCAAACTTCAGGTGAGCAATTGCACTGAATCTACTTCCCTTACTTATCAATATTAATGCTATAGCTTATGAAATTTGTATAACTTTAAGTGCATATATTGACAGATTCTTTCCAAAATAGACTAATGATATTTGTTGTAAGATATCATTAGAAGGAACCATGAATTTCACCAGTATCTGCATCAATATCCATGTCATAAATAATGGGTCTTGTCCCAAGACCAGGCAGCATGGAAATCTATAAGAAAAATAAATAACTTGTTAGTCAGTGTCATAAGGCAGTCATTTTCAAACACTCTGGACTGTAAACACAACAATACTGAAATGGATAATATCCATACTCCCATTTGATTACAGGTTCATTACTTTGATCATAAAAGCCTGCCAATGGTCCTTATCAAGAACTTAGTGAGGTGATAGCTCCAAAGCAAAATTTCATCCTCCCTCCCCCACCAAAAAATCCAATAAACTAAAAATATACAAATTTCTACAATAAATACCTTCTGAAATCCCTCTATCCACTGACCGTTAAATCTAAGAGAAGGCTTTATATTCATAGACAAAAACCTTTAATATTTCAAATCCAAAATAATCCCCAGAAAACCAACATTTTCTCTCTGAGAAATCTAAGAAGTATTTCAGCATTTGTCCCACGGTAAGAATCGTATATACTTGAAAATAGATGCCAAGGAAAAACAATAAGGTTACACTAAGCCAAGCCTTAGTCATGTACAGTGGACTCCACAGTCATAAACACCAGCCCAATAGGCATTAGATTGTCAGAACAAAAAAGTAAACCCCTTTTGTTCCAAATACTTTGCTCCTATGATAGATACATCAAAAGAAATATTCATCTAAAATGAGTTAAAAAAATAGGGGGGAAAAAACCCATGGAGAAAGAAATGGTTACAAGATATACTTCACTAGCTCAATTGTATCCTTCCCATATGTTTACAGAGCACTCTCTCAGTACTTTCACATTGTTACTGAGAAAGAACTCTACATCTGTTCATGTGATACAGTTTCATTAACTACATACTTGAAAATTTCTTTTGCATCATTATGTCACATCCAGTAAATTTTTTTTAAAAAAAATATTTTTTGGGAATGCTTGTGACCTTAATCTGAACACAACTTCCCAATTGTGTGTAAAGATCCAAAATTCTGAAGTCTAAATATAACTTAAATCTTACCTGTCCTACAAGTGGAACCACAAAGCCTGCTCCAACTGAAACTATTATATTCTTAATTGGCAGAATATAACCTGTGGGTGCTCCCTTTAGTTCAGGATCTCCAGTGAGAGACAGATGTGTTTTTGCCATGCACACTGGTAACTTGTTATAGCCCTGTTAAAAATTCACAAAGGCTGTAAAGTTCACAAAGAATTTGACCACACCATGTATAATAATTATTATCAGATTCCTTGCCTGAAATTATTCTGGAATGAATCAAAGCACCATGGAAATAATATTAACTGCTTAAAGCTATAAAATATTCTCCACATGGAAAAATCTGAATTCAGTCATTCCCAAATAGACACTAAATATTACAAATGAGCCAACACCCCTTCAAATCAGTTAACTCAAATAGTTTAAATACTCCATTAAATTAAGACATTAACTGTTAAATCTGTTACCTGCTTACTGTAGTATTCAAGCAGTTTCTGTACATCAGCTGATAGGTCAATGTCGCCAGCACCATACATTTCTTGAGCTATCTTTCTTATCTTGTCTTCCAGAGGAAGATCCAAGTCATACAAAAATCTGAACAGAATAAAAAATATTTTAATATTTTACAAAGGAATCAATAAAGTTTTCTGGTTCTTTGCAACTCATACTTTTAAAATGCTAAGAAACTTTGTTTCTTTAAAATTCTATACCTCAGTCTTGTATGATGATGGTGTTACCCTGTGTTAATTTCCTAGACTAAGTTACAAGACACTTACAGGTAGGAATGTAATCTCCAAGTTTTTACCATCCTCCAGTATTTACAAATGCCAGTATTTCTTGTCTCTGCCACCACTTCACTATTTTATACACTAGAGTGAGGACCTTCTGTTCCAGTACTGAAAACTTTAACATGCACCAGAGTTCAGCTATCTACCTACAAAATGGAACGTTAAACACTAACAAAAATTATGCCACTGGGCACGATCCTGTCAATCCCACCATAGCTAAAGTTAAAAGAATAACATTTGTTCCTTTAGACATTCAACAACTATTCTGATGTTCACCCTCAATGGATGAATAGATATTTGAAATTGAAGTAAATGTATATATAAAACATGGGTAAAATATGACCAGCAGACTGAACAGCATTCTTCAATCAGGTTCTTAGTAACGACATTGTAAAACTCATCACACACTTGAAGTTGTTTCACTTTCATTGCAGGTTTAATGTTTACACTATTCCAGCACACATAACCTTCCGACCTTCCCTTGATTGTAAATTACGGTCAAAACTACGTAATTTATACTTACATTAGAAATAAATATTGTATTTATGCAATGACAAGTTCTACATTCTTAGCTTGGACCTATGAATGATCTATGGAATATAAATAAATTCTGTTCTATTCTATTTATATGACCCATCCATTGAAATGTTTGCCAATCACAAGAATAAATTTAGTCATAATAATATGGACTCTTTTGATTATATTCATTCATATTATGTGAATTACTGTCTTTTGGCTTACTTTGGCAAGAATTATACACAATTTTTCAGAAATCAGAAACCTTTATATACAAAGTGATTTAAAATACTGCACCTGAATCCTGAAGGTTGGTTGCAAGCTTCAATAACAGCATCAGCTAATTCTGTAGCTCCAGCTCCACCTTGAGCCCAATGATTACAGACAACAGCACGGAAAGCTCCATTTTCCAAGCTTGCCTTCTTCAACAACTCCCACTCAGCCACTTTGTCAGTCCTAAAACATGTAAGTCATCATTTCTTGCATGAAATGAAACACAAACCAAAGGAAAGAAATAGCAGTCATCAAGTCTGATTTTAAAAACAGCATCCAAAACAAATTAATGTACTTACGAGAAGGTGTTGATAGCAACAACAACTGGGATTCCGAATTTTGTGCCATTACTGATGTGCTTCAGAAGGTTTGGCAATCCTTTTGAAAGCAATTCAAGGTTTTCCTAATGTGAACACACATGCTTATTATAGTTAATACAAAAGATACAAACTTTTATAAATGCGCTGTTAAGAACACAACAGAAAAAACCAAAGGCAGCTTGTTAAAACAGTGTAATACTATTAAAAAATACATCAACAGTTACACTGGGGGAGATATGGGAGAACAAGTTTTCAAACTTCTGCCACTGCAAGAAATTATATCACATTTAGACTAAAATATATGTTTCAAATAATACATTTAAAGTATATTTTTGCCTCTATTTACATTAGCCTCTTTTGACACTCAAAAACAAATAGTGACAACAGCAACAGAAACACAAAAAGAAAATAACTGCCATAAAAACTGAGACAAATAATTTTAGTAAATTGTTTTCTGTAATTTCCAAGTATAATAAAGGCTATGTGTGACAATTCCGTGTTTTTTAATAAAAAACTTTGTTAGTAGCAAGATGCAACCTTTTTCATGTGGTAAAGGATGGATAGCTCCACCATAACAAAACATCTTTCTTTCACTGAAGGAGATATTTGGTGGGGGGAATCAAGCAACATTAAATACTTTGTGAAATTTTAAATAAATTACAAAAACGTTCACTTGCACAAACTGTTATTATAACATAACTTCAATCTCCATTCTTATATGTAATTCAAGCAGCAACACAACTACTGAAGCTCTTACACTACTGACTGGTACATTCTTTCTGCTCACCCCTCTAGCACTATTCACATACACAATGCACTGCACTATTGGAGACTATTGGATTAAAATGTGTATGAAAGAGGAATAGGCAGAGTGTGCATGCACATAAGACCAGACTTCTCTTGGCAGACAGCAGTTACGTTAATGTTGCAATACTTTCTTTTAAATGCATTAATTACAAAGGAATAAAATGATGCTCATTTCAATTCAGTTAACATACTTGTATCAGATGGATGAAGAACACATTGTTACCTCAGTATACTCCTTCTTTAATGGGATGCCTGGGGTTACAGTCGGCCCTCCACCGTGCATCTTTAGAGCTCTTACTGAGGTTACTAGCACTACAGCATTAGGTACTGCTCCTGAACATCTGCACTTTATATTGAAGAATTTCTCCATTCCTGGTTAAAATAAGGTAAGATATAAATCAGAAAAATGGCATAAGAGCATGGAACAGACCTGATCTTCATCACCTCACCTTAAAGGCAGAGGACATCTTCCTGTTTAAGCTTCAGCATACTGGCATATGTTACAAGGCTTGTAGGGAGAAATTATGTTTGTAACCAACAGTTAGAAACTAAATTAGCAATTACAATGGCGTTACGAGTAGTAAAATTTGACATTCTCTTATTGCAACACTTATAAACACACTTTGACTTCTCTTGATGGGATAACACACACACAAACTGAATGATCAAATGTCCATGGTGGTCTACCAGGATGTGATCTGTGGACTTATTGATGGGTACCAACGTTCTGAAGGAACATCATGCCTCTGTCTTCAGCTCTGTAGATGACAGGATGATCAACTCACGGAAGGTGATATGGGCAGTACAGGTAGAATTAAATGAGAGAGATAAGACATTTATACAATTTTTTTTGGAAAACCTGAAGGGAAGAGATCACTTGGGAGACCTACACAAATATGACAGGATAATATTAAAATGCATCTTAGGAAACAGGCTGATGGCTGGATTATCTGCCTGAGGACAGAGCGGAGTGGCAAGCTCTTGTGAACACAGTACAGAACTTTCAGAATCCATAAAAATGGTAATTTCTTAATTAGATGAACATTAAATAATTAAATGTATAATATTAGTATGCAAACTGGTGGACAACAGCTGTGTTATATAGTTGCAGCACAGTTCATGTAAATTTTATATAGCATCAAACTTAAAAACTATTTTCCATATTGAAAAATTAAAGGCTGGACTCATGACCAGATACAATTCTGCTTTCCAAGTTCGTTATAAGCAGTGCTGGCACAATGGTTTATTATCATTGAAATGCTTAAAGGTCTTACCTATATCAGAGCCAAATCCAGCTTCAGTCACAACATAACCATCTTGTCCTACAAGTTTGAGTGCAACATCATCAGCTACAACAGATGAACAACCATGAGCAATATTAGCAAATGGACCAGCATGAACCAAAACAGGAGTTCCTTCCAGGCTCTGCATCAGTGTTGGTTGGATAGCATCCTTCAGCAGAATGGTCATAGCACCTGTAGCACCCTGTAAGTACAAATATGTTTTCTTTCTCCTTCCAATTTGACATAGCCAGATGCATGGTATAAGGGTTGCATGTGGCTTAAAAACTTTTTGTGCACAAGAATAACACAAGTGACTCTTCAACATCATCTATTAACTTTATTAATTTTGTTACTAAGTGTGAGCTCAGAACACAAAAGCTTTGCAAGACTCAGGTTCAAGTTTGAGCTCAATTCAAACTTAAAATTGTTGATCCCACTCATCTCTCCAAACATGAATTAAATAAATACATAATCAAATTAATGATAAAAAAGGTTTTATAAGAAAGATAAACTCACCAAATCATCTGCTGTAACAGGCTTTCCATCAGTATCTTGAGCTACAACAATTCTACTTAAACGTTCCTTCATGTCTTGGATATTTTTTGAGAGAGCAAGAATTGCCATAACTTCACTTGCTACAGACATCACAAATCCACTTTCTCTAGAGAAACCTTTCTCAGTTGGTGACTGGCCAATGGTGATTTTTCTTAGAAATCTATCATTTGTATCAACAACTGTTAACAAAACAAAGTATACAATAACAAAAATCCATGCACCATTCAATATTGTTAGATGTTGTTCCATACTAAATCGGGTTTTCTCCCCTACTTTCGTTCTTCATAATAGTTTTGCCACAGACACAGAATAAGGGTTACAAGTAAAATATATTAATTATTGACTTGTTTGTTCAACTTCCATTCTTTTTACACAAAAGTATAAACTTTTCATATTTTTCCACACAATGTTTCAGACACTTTGTTATACTATTCCATCCAGCCTTTATAGTGTTAAAATATGTTTTTTATTTCATTGTTATATATATTTTAAGCAAAATACATTTTTATTTGAATGATACAAAACACTGTGGTAAACTAGTGTCTGATTCAGTTGGGAGGAATATTTTATCAAATTGATCAAGAATGTGTGTCTGCCTAGCCAAACACTGACTTCCTATGACAATCACAATGATAAGATACACAAACCAGAATGTAATATTCTATACAGGTTCATGGGATAGAAGTTAAGAGTTTATAAAGCCTAATACTGCATTTACACTCTGTACTTTAATAAATACAGACAAAAACCTACAGGTGCTCTCTCATTTGACATTAATATCAATAAGCATGCTATTAAGAATATAATAAATGGCATGACTCGTGATGAACTGGAGGTTGATTATTGAGACATTTACACTCTCACATTGTATTTTGGAAGCTGGATGTTCCATTCTCAGCTTATAATGGACTATCCTTTGTCCCATCAAGTAAATGCTGGGACAATACCTTAAAATTGGCTACAACTATTTTTTCCATAGCCTTCCCAATTCTTCATTCACATTCACAATCCTGTTCAATACTATAATTATAAATTATGTATTGAAAAAATGGCCATCTCAGTGGCGCGCGGTCCAAGGCATGGGCCTTGTGCCGCTTGGTCACTGGGATCATGGGTTCGAATCCCACTCAAGGCATGGATGTTTGTCCGCATTTTTCTGTGTTGTGCTGTCCTGTGTACAGGTAGAGGCCTTGTGACAGGCCGATCCCTCGTCCAAGGAGTCTACAAAATGTCTATAGATCAAAGCCAACGAAAAGTTGGGACCGGCAGTGCTCAGGGACTTGAAGAACGGGTCGTCAAAGTAAGTAAAGTATTTAAAAAATGTAATTAAATAAAAAACACAACTCACCTCGCTGCCACGTAATGGTGTTAACATCAACATTTAGTCTTGCAAAGGCCTTCTGTTCTTCTAGAGTAAGAGAATTAGGATCAGTCTTGTTGATGCCAAGTTTCTCTAACCTCCTCAACTGTAATCATATTCAATAAAAAGGCAATTAGAATCTTACAATTTACATCAATGTCATATACTGTTGTGATAGTTCAGTTACTCAGAATGTCATAATTTGTTTCCAGATATAAGGGTTAAGAGGTCATTAATATTTTATTGAGAAATAAATGTTTTGGGACAAAATAATAGAGAGAACAGTTCTTTGAGTACAAGATGGCTATTATTATTATTATTATTGAAGAGGTAGCTTACTAAGAGAATGATAAATTGTATTAATGCTGTAGAATTAAGAAACAAAATTAGCAGAACTATTACAAATACATCATGCTGCAGTCCGCAAAAGAACCCAGTGTTTGAGGGACAGAATCTTCGGTATAGAAAATCAATAAATGAATGTATAAAAGTAGATAAACAATTCAGTTAAACAGAAATGAATGTAAGGGAAATGGCAGAATATATAGATTAAGAAGATAAACTATTCTTTAGCCATTAACATGTTATGAATATCAGAACAGCAAAGATATTTATCACTGAGGATTCTTACTAGTATTGACTTACCTTATTAAATATTATAATTTCTTTTGCTAGCTAGATTCTCACCTGAATTTTGGAGAAACTTCTTTTCCCTTTCACATCAGGCACAAGTCTGTCATAAAGTGATTTATCACTTTGAGTTTTTTCATGAAAAATTCTAGCATCAAGCTGAGCTGCCAGGAGATTGTTGGCTGCTGTTACAGCATGGATGTCACCTGTCAAGTGAAGATTAAACTCCACCATGGGATTTACTTGTGAATACCCTCCACCAGCAGCACCACCTGCAATATATATTGCAGAATTGTTTACTGCAGTTCAGTGCCATTCTTTCAGTATGAAAAAACAATATGAAATGATGACAAAACACACTGGATGGATAAAGTCTACTTTCCCTATTATACAGAGCAAAATATGTTTACACTATCATCATATATGTACATATGGATGTGTGTTTTGTGTCAATGTTAGTTTTCTTGTAATGTAATAAACCATTTCATTCACATATCAAGTAAATAGAATGTGTGGTAGCCTTATGACAAACTTGAACTTATAACAGAGATGTCAGATTTAGATGAGGGAGCAGGTAAAACAGTAGGTTATATGTACCCAGAAACAATGTTAGGGGAAGGAAGGATGCCTCCCTCTGCCCCCCTCACTTCTGATGTATTTTGTCTCACTTCACAAACATGAAATTCAACTAACACATTTCACAGAGTACACATACAAAAATTACTCAAAAATTATTCTAAAATTATGTTTACCTTTAATCCCAAATGTAGGACCTTGAGACGGTTGTCGCACACATGCAAAGGAATTCTTGTTCTTATGTGCACTAAGAGCCTGGACAAGACCAAGTACTGTTGTACTCTTGCCCTCCCCAAGTGGAGTGGGAGTGATTCTACAAACAACAAATTATAGTGAGGCAGAAAATTTGTCCTGAGGAACTGTTAAACAAGTAAGTGAATATCTGTGAGGGTGAAATGGAGCTCATTAGTTGTCCACTTCAATGACAAATTACAGAACAAATTCCAGTCACTGAAATGCAGTGTTCCACATTTATTTACAAAAATTGTCAGTATGGAAAGGCAGAATACCAGAAAGTAAAAAGGTTCATTACCAGAGTAGTATGTCACCATCTTATACACATTTATTATCTTTCTGAAGTGATTACAATATTGTAATCCTAAACTATTACAGATTTACCTACAGTATTCCTATACTGTACAGACATGGAAAAAATACAAAGAAAAAAATTGTTCTTAAAACAATATTTCTACTACTGGATCATTGAACAACATCAGTCCACAGTAACTTTAAGCAGTATTAATGCTATCAGTACATATTTTACTTTAAAAAATAACAACTGTACACAAACAATATAATACATACCCTGCAACTACTATGTATTTTCCAGGCTTTTGATGTTCAAGTCGCTTCAGTACTGAAAGATCAATCTTGGCTTTCTTGTGTCCATACTGAAATACCTCACTGGGATACAAACCAATTTCTTCTGCCAGCTGACTTACATCCTTTGGCTCTTGTCCTCTGGCAATCTGAATATCACTGTTACATGCAACAAAACAGAATAAGTTATTCATGTCCTGCTGATATTCTTAAGCTTAAATTCTTATTTATTTCATGAGATTTATACAATGTTGTTGAACCACATGTAATGTACAAATATAAGACTGTTTTCATTATCCATTTTCAGATATTATTGTTTTAAGTTTAAATCAAGTTACCATAGTCTGACATCTAAAGCATATACTGGAGATAGATTAGTGGCATCGGTCTGAATGTAATAGATTTGTTGAAAGTAGGGACTTTTGTTGTCCACACTTGATCAAGATAAGGAAAATGTTGACTGATGGAAAATTAGTACTTCACAAATCAAATTAGTTGGGTTTTCTTTCTGACATTAATAATAAACAGAGGGACAAATATAAAATGCATGAAGGCACTGTAGCATAACAGACTAATTATATGTACCATACCTAGGAACTGGAGTTTCCAGTGAAAGTGGTAACACCCTCAAGTTCCAAGCAGTACTTCTGAGCCTAGCAGCTGACCTCTGAGCTGACTGTACAGTATTCTTCATAAGCATAGCCACTGTCATGGGACCCACACCACCTGGGACTGGAGTAATGTAAGATGCAACCTTCTTTGCTTCTTCAAAAGCAACATCTCCAACTAACTTCTGACCAGACTTCTTAGTTTCATCTGTAAAAATTTAATCACTATTACTTAATATCCAAAAAGTGAATTGTAATTTACTGAAAGTTCTACTTTCTCTCTGAAGACTATCAAGTCCCCTATCCAATGGATACTTTCACCAGACAAACAGATGAACCCACAGCATGAAATGTGACAAATTTACCTTAACCATTATCTTCCTTATATGTGTTTTCCTTAAAAATGATAGATCACTTTGCACACATCAGTAATAACTTATCATAATATATGATCTAGTTTATTTTTAGTCCTGACTTAATATCTTATGGTAAATGTTTAAATCTGTTCTGAAAGGACATCTTAAATGAAAATTTACTGCACACAAAGTAATACATTTCTTATAATACACTTATATGAGGGCAGTTACAAAACCATACAATTCTTCCATCAATATGGGCACACAATGTTTCAGAACAAACAGGCAAAAAGAATATTATTTTTAAAACTCCCTTTCTATGAGCACAAACTATAAAAAATAAAATTTAAGTATTTATTTACTTGATAACCTTAGTATTCACCAAACTGCTCTATGTTAACAGTTATCACAATCATCAGAGCTGAATTAACCATTTATTGGTCAAATTTCAAATGGCTAAACATAAAAATATAGCACAAAAAGTCAATTCAGAGACAACTATATCAAAGTCAATACCTGGCACTGAATTTATTCCACAGTCAATGACAACAGCACCTGCTTTTATCCAATCACCTTTCACCATTTCAGGTTGACCAATAGCAACCACCAAAATGTCTGCTTTGGCTGTCTGTAAACATGAATATATTTACAGGCTAATACTGCTATGGTTCTATATACTTTTTCCCTAAGCATTTCCACCATTTACAAGTGGAATCATTACAAGCATAAAAGTGGTTTATAATATTAACATATACTCTTTAAAAAACATGTATATACAGCAAAGCGCTGTTTCTGTTATGCATTGTTGTTCAACATAACACAGCAGCAAACATATCATAGATATGAAACACCATTACAAAAGTAAGTCTCACCCAGCTGTGCTACAAAGTTTTAAACATTTTAGAAGGTCTAGAGTTTAAAACTTGGTGATATATTTCAACAAACATTTTATATTATTTTTTCCTGACCATAAAATGAAGGAAATACTTGGATTTTAATGGAGTACAATGACTATGAAGAATGCACTGTACCTGATGATGGCCATGTATGGTCAAAACATGTATTTTTACATAAAACAAACACTTTAAAAATAGAGGAATGGTGTGTAAAAGTGATGACAATAACAAACATGAAAATCTAGGTAATAAATGAGTAAACCAAATTATCTATCAACAGTTTTCCTAAATGCTATGATCTCATATTTCCATTATTCCGTTATTGAACATATTTTTTTTCACTTACAAACTATTTTATATATATTTAATAACACAACAAAAATAAACTGAGACCTCATAACAATAACAACAGAATATGTTACTGATGATCAAATTTGATCCTCAGTAACACAACTCTGAACCTCACAGCTACTGCACTCCACATCACACAGCATATACACAGAATTCACCAACATAGTTACAAAAAACATGTTCTGTACCACATTTCTGGATCATTTGCTATATCAATAAATTAACATACAGTACCATACCTCTTTGGCCAGATACTTTGTTTTTGAATGACAAACAGTCACAGTAGCATGATGCCATTTCAGTAATTCAGAACAAGGTGTTCCAACTATCTTACTTCTCCCAAGAACGACAGCCTGGCTTCCTGAAATTTGCACCCCACTCCTACAACAAGCAAAATAACTACTAATAAATAGTTTCTTTATACATTTAGGTCAGTGTCTAGAAAATTGTTTCTGTAACTTGTACAGCATGTGATTTCTGTGACCAACTCTCTAAAACCAAAGAATAGTGGCAGAAAGCCACTACAAAAATACTTCAAACACTTCTAAAATTTTCTTGAATAAACCCACATACACCAGAGACAGGAATACCTATTCAGTACTGCAAAAGGGACTATAACGAAGAAATGTTCCCACCCGACAGAAGAACGTGTAAATGACATTCAGTTTCTGAATGGCTTCTTCAAAGGAAATACAAAATGAATAGGTCAGAAGTACAATGTGCCACTACTGCATATATTTAAGTAAGATGAATAAAACCAGCTTAAAATTGACACCTGAGAAATTTAAACATCTTGAACAGAAAAAAAATTCAGTCCTTACACAAATATCCATGACATTGTTATGGAACTCCACATTAACTTCCCAAAAGTTGGTCATGGTCTTCTGTCTTATGACATCATGTGGTTCTGCAGGTGGATACCAAAGTTTTGGAGGCATGTTATCATCACCATCTTTTTTTCCAAAACGTTGGTAACAACCTATGAGAGCATATGACATCAAAACCCACAAGACCACCAATGACATGTTCACTGCTGTGAGAACCTCAAATTTCAAATATCCCTATCGGTTTACATACTTGTTCACACATTCATTCTTCTGCAAACTGTGTAAGGGCATGTAAGAAAGTTACATTTTAGTAACATATAAACACATACACACATAATTATGTGTTTCTGATGCTACAGCTAGAATAGGTATTTAACAATAATCCCCAAAACTAAGTAAATTATACAACAGATAGCATGTTTTACCTCTTTATAAGTTCGAAGACCCCATTCGGTGTGCACGGTAGGAACCCAGATAGATCCCCAACAGCCAGCCTTCCTTCATTAATTGTATTTAATCTGTAAACAATATGTTTAACTTTTGTGATATAATAAATACATAAAAATTATGAACATTACAGAATTCTGATTCAAGAATGAGGAAAAACAAGAAGTTTGGGATGATACATGAATGATACAAAGAATATGATGCAACAAGATACAAAGAATATTAAAAAATAAGGACAAAATTAAGGTCAACTGATTATGAAGGTCAACTTAACATTACCATTTACATCATCATACATTATCTTTGTTTTTCAAAGATTTTACAGCTTAAGAGGTCAACAAAACCTCATGGCTTACATCACCAGATTTTATAAACATGTTCTTAATAATCAACAACTTATAACAATGTCCACATGTACACTAATAAATCAAAATAATATCCACAATTAAAATTAAAAGTTCTAGTGCTAAGTGGAAGTAAAATAAGTTGAAAAAGAAATTTAGTATTAATAAATTTTATATTTTTATACTGTAAGATTAAAGTCATCAGGACAATGAATGAGGCAGCATAACAAATATCCATGACATTGTTATGGAACTCCACATTAACTTCCCAAAAGTTGGTCATGGTCTTCTGTCTTATGACATCATGTGGTTCTGCAGGTGGATACCAAAGTTTTGGAGGCATGTTATCATCACCATCTTTTTTTCCAAAACGTTGGTAACAACCTATGAGAGCATATGACATCAAAACCCACAAGACCACCAATGACATGTTCACTGCTGTGAGAACCTCAAATTTCAAATATCCCTATCGGTTTACATACTTGTTCACACATTCATTCTTCTGCAAACTGTGTAAGGGCATGTAAGAAAGTTACATTTTAGTAACATATAAACACATACACACATAATTATGTGTTTCTGATGCTACAGCTAGAATAGGTATTTAACAATAATCCCCAAAACTAAGTAAATTATACAACAGATAGCATGTTTTACCTCTTTATAAGTTCGAAGACCCCATTCGGTGTGCACGGTAGGAACCCAGATAGATCCCCAACAGCCAGCCTTCCTTCATTAATTGTATTTAATCTGTAAACAATATGTTTAACTTTTGTGATATAATAAATACATAAAAATTATGAACATTACAGAATTCTGATTCAAGAATGAGGAAAAACAAGAAGTTTGGGATGATACATGAATGATACAAAGAATATGATGCAACAAGATACAAAGAATATTAAAAAATAAGGACAAAATTAAGGTCAACTGATTATGAAGGTCAACTTAACATTACCATTTACATCATCATACATTATCTTTGTTTTTCAAAGATTTTACAGCTTAAGAGGTCAACAAAACCTCATGGCTTACATCACCAGATTTTATAAACATGTTCTTAATAATCAACAACTTATAACAATGTCCACATGTACACTAATAAATCAAAATAATATCCACAATTAAAATTAAAAGTTCTAGTGCTAAGTGGAAGTAAAATAAGTTGAAAAAGAAATTTAGTATTAATAAATTTTATATTTTTATACTGTAAGATTAAAGTCATCAGGACAATGAATGAGGCAGCATACACCTCTGAAACACCAGTAAACTTCTACAAGATAACATGACACATGGCAACATTTTTCCATATCAGCAGTAGCTTTTGACTTCAGAATATGCATAGGTTTCACCACACAGCAGTGAAAATAATTTGCCACAATTTCAGATGTACAAATTTATGAATTAACACAAAAAATATATTTCTTTTCTCTCTCTCAATTAAGCTAAAAAAATTCACTTCTAAAATTTCTAGCAACATCTGTTTATATACTAACAAAGAGATAAGTTATTCTAAAGTAGACAATTAAAAATGAGTTTCACACTACTGAAAGTAGCACATCAAAGTTGAAATATATAATGTCTCAATTAACACCCCTGTTTCTATAAAGGAACTGTAAATATATTACACCAGACCTGACAACAAATTATGAAAAAGTAAGTTCCAAAAATGCTAAATAAAATCTAAAATTGTAGACTGATAAAATAATATTTATGGAGGAGTACAGAAAATATAAAATAACAGAAATAATTAATTTACAGATATCAGAATCAAAATTTAAGTATTGCAGCCTAATAAAACAAACATTATGCATGGCCTTCACTAGAGAGCAAGATAAGCATAGTTTACTCAGTGATAAATACTTAAGCAAAGAGACTACATGCCCCATCATCTTCTCATATATACATGTTATATATCATACTGACTTCACTTCAGGTCAAATTTAATTTAATTAAGCTTAACCACATGTCTGAATGTTTACCAATAACATGTCTGCTGTAGTAATTTTTAAATAAGCTGCAATTACATGTTTTCTCATCTTTTGAACTGAACTTGGTGAGTATGACAGTCTACTACAAATTCCTGATTTTACAATAAGTAGCTGCGCAGTCTGAGGCATCATGCTTCGGACCAGCGGTACGGAATGCGCGCTGGTTCGAGTCTCAGGGGAGAAGAAATTTTCTCATGAGATTTCGACCAGTGTATGGGACCGGTGCCAACCCAGCATCGTGAGGAAATTGGGGAGCTACAATGGTTAGCGTGATCCGGTCAGGAAAGCTAGCAATGGCTGGGGGGTCGGCGTGCTGACCACACGTCACCCTATATCTGGTTGGATAATCGTTCACCTCTGCTTAGGCATGTGAACATGAGGCCAGCAGTCAAGCTAGTCGGCTTTGGCTCTCCGGAGCTGTTACGTCACAGATTTAATTTTTTTAATTTTTTAACTGAGATATAAGTTGATTTTTAATAAGCCTGGTATAAAGCTAGGAACAATTTCTAATGGTTGGTGATGAATGGAAAGCAGTAATTTTCCTCACATACTAAATCATATACAGACTGTCATGATGTTAATCTGACACCCAGGATTCATCAAGCCCAGTGCATAAAAATCAGCCCTTAAAACATCTAACAGATAACTCCAAAGACATAATATTCAGTATTCATTCACAAGATATTTTTATGAAATTAAATAACGTGATAAAATTACATATCTTCTCATAAAGGTTTGTTCTCCAACAAAACACATATCAGATTAATTTAATAGAAATCTACACAATTCCCACACATTAAAAGTATTGACTTAATTACAATAACACATCTTAAATTGAAAATATCTTAGCAGACTTACCCATCTACATCTTTTTCTGGAGCTACAGCATCAGTAATGAGGTGGGAATCTACAGGATTATCTGTGTCCAGTGGCATCTGTACAATTATCCCATGGATACTTGGATCTCCATTCAGATTTTTTAATTTAATCAGAAGCTGTAATATAACATGCATCCCAATTACCAGAACAGCAAATAGTAAATGTTGATAACTGTTTCTTATCTCTAAGTAAGTTAATTCACTGTGTGGATAAAATATCTAGCATTAAAATCACAAGTCCTTACTCGAGTGTGCATTTCCTTTACCTCCATTATTTAACTTTTAAATTATGTATTATATTTATGCTTCCATATAAGTGATAATGTAAAACATCAAGAATTACATAATTTAAAGGTACTATATAGTCTGTGCTTTAGTACAAGAATTTATGCAATAATAACTAAACAGAAAGACATTATCAAATCCCATGCATAAAACTTGCAGCAAGTTATAGTTTCCAATTCTAGCATTGTACTGCACAGGTAAACTCTTTATAACTTTTTCTATGCATTTTAAGGCAATGTGTTAAAACATTATTTTACAAACAAGTCCAAAGAAATATGAATATGTGCTGATTTTTGCACACTACAATGTGCAATGTTGCTTCTACATAAAATAAGAGATTAGCTATTACCTCTGCTTCAGTGATTGTCCTTGGTAATTTTATATGAGTGGCTTCTATTCCAATCTGACTAGCAGCTTTCATTTTCATGCGAATGTAAACATTAGAGTCTTCTCGACCTCCAACTTGTATGATGGCCAGACCAGGCTTGAAACCAGGCAATTCTTCACATAATTTTCTTACTTCGCTCTTTAGAGCACTGCGTATTTCACTGTAAACAGTTACCAATATCTACCAAATTTCATCCTGTTTAATATCATTCACACTGCTACAATATCCCAATTCAATGTTTTGACTGGCATTTTAAAAACTAGATATGCCAAGAGATAAAAATGGATTCATGTTGTAATAATTTCATCATATGTAAGGGGAACCAAAGCAAAATATATACAGTCATTAGTATCATCAGATTCAGAAATTATTTCTCAGTTCTGTAATGCAAAACATAATTCCAAAGTACAGAACCCACAGTGGTTCTTCATACAATATAGGTCAGTATTTCAATGTATTGGAATCTTATCTTGACAATAATAGTCTCCATGAGATTATGTCAAATGTGATCTTCTGGATTGTGATGCCATATTGCCTTGTATGTACTTACCATGTTGAAGAAGTGGTAATCAATGTTTTGAAGGAGGCTGAAGTTCAGCTCTGAAGATTTGAGATGAGACATTCATTTGAAATTTTATACAATGTCACACCCCATATGACCACATCTAACATATTCACTGCTGTCCACAGTGCAACAGCCCACAAGACTACAAAGTTAAATATTGGAATTTCTTACTCATTTGCAAATTAAAGTCTAATATGCTGAATAAATCCTCTAAGCATTCATTACCAATAAACAGTAAACTTTGTGTCCACATAAAAATAATGGAAGTTACAGGAGACAACAGTGGGGAAAAATACTCTCCAAATAGATGTAAGTCACCTTCTATTCCACAAACGGGATAGCCAAATGAAATTAAACAATTTTAACTGGTACACTTAACTTCTGGTCCATGATCCTCAAATTCTGCACTAATACCACAAAGATACACAAAGGAACTATCTGTCTAAGAAAACATACTATATCAGTATAAACAGATCTCAAATTGTTTGCTGTAAAATGACAAATTTAAACTCATATCCTTACTCATAAAATTAAATTATAATTAAATTTACCTTTCCATATTTTAGCATTTCCCAAGCTACAAAAATGGTTGAACGAATTTCTAGTCATTCAATTTATATGAGGTACTAAATATGATGAAAACTTCATGTAAAGTGCACTAATTCAGTTCCAAGATTTTAAATACAATGCTAATGGTTTCTTTAATTACAAGATGTGAAACCAGCTTCCCACAGAAACAAGGATAAGGGGATTTTTTTACTTTAAATCATTAACAATACTCATGTAAGCTTAGTCCTTGTGTAATTATAGACTGCTATAATTACTATTGTTCTTATTAATTTATAAATGCAATTAATACATACTTGGCTACTTCTGTTCCAGAAAGTATATTCCCAGCTTCACTTGGTTCTCCTGATGAACTCATTGTGCTATAATTCTGCAAATCAGAACAAACTACAGGAGAAATGTACTGTATCCAAGGAAGAGTTCACATTAACTCTAATGCACAAAGTATACTCTGCTCCCTGCAGACTGACTGGAGGGGTATAAGAGGGAGGGTCAGTGAAGGGGAATAGGATGTCACTATGAAGCAAATATCTCAAGGCTCAAAGTAACAAGTATAACTGTCTCTTTCTTTATTTGATGTAAGAGGAAAATACAGAAGATCCTAGCACTAACAAAGCAATACAGATGCAAGCAAGAAATCTATTTAAATTTCAAAATACAATTATATCACTTTTGCTTTGATTTGCCTAAAAATCATATGAATACCCATTTCTTGCTAATAAAAACATAGTGAATAAAAGTTTTAAAATGAATGCTGATAATCAGATGTGACAAATGGGTTTGAGACCATATTTTTTTTTACAAATAATTAGCCATTAATTAACATACTTTTAATATGTTCTTGTTTTATGACTAAAATGTAATAGAACTGATTATGATATGTATATTACTGAGAAAAGCAGCAACAAACAGTCAAATACTTATTTTCATATTATTACCAAACTTCTTTTGCAAGGGGAAAAGTGAACTATGAAATAAACATGCTGTCTGTGTGTCTCCCCTTGTCTTTTTAACTTCTGAATGAATCAATCATATCACAAGCAACAGATATGCAAGAAACTGTTTATTCATTCTCTTTTAATACAGTGTACACCATACAAACAATATTTTCGATATGCTGTCATCAAATGATATATATATACTTGTTATATGGTGCAGTAAAGGCACAGAATTATAGGTTATAAATTGTATTTCGCCCTTGTGAAATGTGCTTCTAACCCTAGAACCACAATAAAGTATATGGTCAATCAAATGCAATTTGGTATCAGAAGTAGCTTACCAGAAATGTTAGTTTCGGTAATATATATGGATAAAGATAACAAATTAACTGGTGAATTTCCCCGCACGTTTCACTGTTACTGTCAAATACAATTAACCGAATGTACACTTATAAAGAAATGTTACTGTCACACGATCGCCATGGAAGACGTTTTATACCAAAACCACTATCGTTACTAAAGATTTGTGACACCTGTGTATGAATTCGACCAATATTATATGTTCTGAATTGCTGAGGGATCAGCAGAAAACAGTTTTATTCAAAATATATGCAATTCTATAAAGTAGATATTTCAATACAGACGAAAAACAACCCGCCTTATAAACGCATGGTGTTCGAAGCATTGCTACCACAGATTATAACACAGTGTTGTCTGTGGCCACAAATTTCGTAGCACTCATAACTGCCGATGGTATTATCGGTAATCACAAGCATACACATTCATGTAATACACGTCGTACGAGTCATGTATGGATAGAAGTGTTTTGAAGTCATGAATGAGCAAAAACTGATGACATAATTCGATTTTTAGGAGAGGACATGAAAATGTACTTTTTTCTTAAGGTATTGTTTTTTTACATACAAAAGGCTTAAATTAATGTTTTATGGGATGCCATAGTGTTCCGATTCAAAGGCCCACAATTAACGATAACTAACATGAAGACGGATGTCTTCTAGGTTGTTATGCGGTTTAGTCAGTCAGATGAGTACCAACATTTCAGAGGTGCTTCCTGCTACTACCACCAAGATCTACACCGGCGGCGGCTCCAGGCGGGCTCGCGCCCTGACCCTTCCGCGCACACCGCAGCGTAGAAGTACACAACATATGTAGGATTTAAGGTTTTCACGACGGTGAGGTTTATCGACGTTTCAGAGGTCCTTGCTGCCTCCATCATCAGGGTGATGAATATGGAGGCAGCAACGACCTCTGGAACGTCTGTAAACTTTTACCAGACTACACGGCACAATAACCCAGAAGACAGCCATCTTCTTTACACAACATCCACCAACCAATGCCTACTGGTGTAGGTCGAGGTTGATAGTAAAATTTTGCTACTGTGCCGAATCCTCGAAACCAACAGCTGTAACAAATCTGAGTTAAGGTTAACATTTAAATTAATTAAATTGTCTATGTTAATTATTGTTTTTTTAAATGTGATGTTTTGATAAGTCATTGTTAACTATAATGTTAGGCAAGACTCACGATAACATGTGCTATATCGGAACCAACATTGAACACTGAAGATGGTCGTGTGAGGGGCTGTTTACTTGCCAAATAAACAGTTTATAAATATAGTTTGTTTATATATTGTAAGAACAGCACGGCATGACAGGTCTTCAAGCTGCACATGGTGTAACAAAACCAAAGTTATTTTATCTAAATTGACACCGTCTCTACCACACCACCATGATCTACAATACAATCTACAACGCACCGAGGAAATGCAGGGAGAGATTACTTCTTGTCCTTAATGTGCGGTCTTGATAACCACTCGACGATGCAGAAGCCGACTGTCCCAATGATAAGCATAGTGAGTACAATATGCAATTTGACGTTTGCACATAGCTTAGGGCTGTATGCGTATGCCACGATGAAGCCCACTGACTTCCACGTCCGGTAGTTGCAGTAGGCTGCTGTTTCATTGCCTTGGAACAAGGTGCCATACAAAGCTGTGTGGAAAGATAAAGATGTAGATAAAACAATTCATTAGAAGGCGAAGCTATCAGTGCATGACAAAAGCGTGTACTTTTGATTTTCAGAATATTTGAAGCACGATGTACCTGTAAATTTAAATGACAAATCCAGGGCAAAAATGGATCGTGTGAGAACAGACTTCATGCTGTCTGGAGGGTCAATATTTTGAATTTGTACCAAAATCAGTCCGTATAGTATCTCCGAGCTTCGTTGATCGCTACAAGGAAAACCTCCGACAATTTTTATCTTCCCTTCTTACTGTGACGTATCCCACTTTCGCAGATAGTTTGCGTCCAGTGTACAGGATTGGTTATCTATTCTGACGACTCACCATTCATTTGTACCAGCCAGACGGCATCTGTAATTCCCCACAGACCAGAGATGACAAAGAAAACTGCGGAACTGTTGACTGGGTCTGGAGTCCAAACATAAAGTGTCACCGTTACGCCGATTTGGATCACCGTTGCAGACAGCACCATGAGTAAGCGCCCAGTCAACTTGACTAGGTAGCCTGTCGAAAGGGACGCTAGCGAATTTGTAACTCCGTAGCAAATCAGCACATAACCGATGTTACTGATTCCCCATGAACAGGATACATAACCCTACGGAGAGAAAATACATTTGGGCTGAATGACACGCTTTGATGGACAAAGTAAGCATCCAGCCAGATCACACCGCCATGGTAGAGTCGTCCGGATTTATTTATGCTTTTTGACATAACTTTGATGGCCATGGGCTCAATTACAACAATACAACAGAGGTAATTAAATTGTGCTGGATTATCCGGATGCGTAATTAGAACATTACTAATCTACAGGTGCTAATAAAATAGTGGGAAGTATATAGATGCAGGGTGGTCGATACAGTGTAAATCCTATCTTACTTGCAAACCGTTAAATATTATTTATGATGGAGGTGGCATTTCGTCGGTAAATTTCTATCCATCTATACTCACCACAATGAGAACCTGAAATCTCACCAATATAGAATTTACGTAAACATTGATTGGTCCCACCACTTTCCATACATTATTGAACTTAAAGCCAGCAAATGTCATGCGCATTTAAAATTAAAAATAATGAATACTCCACATGTAAAGCTTTCGTTCCTAAATATTATAGTGACCTTCGTGCATCTACACACTCTAAAAAACCCTGTAAAACTGTACTTACAGATGTGTAATCAGCCCCCCTGAACACCTGTTCAATACCCATCCATACAGTCAAAGGGAGAAGTAATAACAGCCTGTGATCACTTAGTTGTTCTACAGTGACGGCCATGAGGCGAACTCCCGACACTTCCGCACTAATTGTTGACCCCTCTTTATTGTATCTGAAGAACACAGAAAAAAGGAAGAAAATTATTTCTAGCATTATAACGCAGAATCTCAATATAAAGAACATACGCAATTAAAAAAGTGTTTCCGCCCGGGATCGAACCGGGGACCTTCCGCGTGTTAGGCGGATGTGATAACCACTACACCACGGAAACCTGTACTTGGTACTTCTCCATAAACACTTTACAGAGTAAAATTACCTAAATTCTGAGGAAAATTTAATATAATTTCGGTATAAAAAGTTAACTGCTTTTACTCGGAGACCAGAAAAGAGCCTTATTAAGGACGAAACACCTATCTTATGCCCAAATGTGCTACTGTACTTGGTCCATGATTATGGGGCAACAATGCAACAGTGATTGGAAAAAAGAAAACAAAAACAACACAAAAACCTGTTCAGGGAACACATAATATCAATTATAATAAAGAGCTCCTTATATATAATCCTATTATAACCCTGACAAACATGCAAATCGTTGTGTGTGAGAACAAGTTACTGAAGAGAATACTTGGATATAAGAAATAGGAAATAATATAAGAACTGGGAAAATAACATCATGAATAGCTTCTTAGTTTGCACTCTTACCCTAATATTATTAAACAATAAAACCATGGCATAGGCAATCAAGAAACATATAAAATTGGGGCAGGAATCCCTGATGAAAAGATACCACATGGGAAATCTAGGCATAAACAATGGTAATACAGGTACCCCTCGATTTGCGCCGATTCAGAATAACGCCGATTTTGAAACCAGCAAGTCAAAAGGTGAAGAAAAAAAATAATATATTTTACTATTATTTATAACGTTTTACAATGTATCTCGTACTGATTCTTATAATAAATCGTAATTCTTACATCGCTGATTTTGAATAAAAATTATAAATACAGTTATCTCTGCAATTACGTATGTTTCGTTAACGCGAATTTGCTCCAATGAGATCGATGAATCGGTAAAATCTGTTTGTGAAATGCAAACTTTTGCATATGCGAGTTTGCTCTTTTGCAATTTCATCCTGGCGCTTTAAACTTTTAAAGGACTAATTTAATCTCTGCGGAGGTACAGGGGTTATTTTTACTACGCGATTTTATAAACGAGTTTCCATTTACGCCGATTCCGTTTACGCCGGTTCGTTCAGGAAAGCATCCCGGGCGTAAATCGAGGGCTACCTGCAAATACTAGGGAAATAGAATAATAAAGAACAGATTGAATTAAACTAATTCAGACTTTTGTCAATGCATTATTTAACGTCTGAGTTCCATAAGAGCAAGAAATATATTGTGTATCTAAGTAAATATGAAGTACTGAAATGAAGGCTAACAAGCCTGATCAAACGTAGAAATAATTAACAAACAACTTCTTGATAAGTTCAAAGTTATATTCTCTCAAAGAATAATTCCCAAGCTTCTGTTTCAAAGACATGGACTGACATCTTATCAGCCTCACATTTTACAAGATCATATGGTGTACTTCTTTTTATTTTTCAAAGAATCCCCACAATTAAATTTTAACAAAGTTGTTTTTAATAAACATGTTTTCTAGAACCAGATCCAACACATGCAAGAAACTATGGAACTTTAATGAAGCTGAATTTATGAGATTTACCTTTTCAGTGAAGTAACTCCAAATGAAATGATGAAGGAAGCAAGTATCATACATGAAAGATAGATTCCAGCAACTGTGTAAATTTTTTCATTAGCAGGTCTCTCAAGGTTAGGGTTGCTTTCAGTTGCTTCACTTCCAGGGCAGAAATTATAGCCACAAGTCTCTGATATGTGTGTGCTAATGTTAATGTTGGAATTGTCTTCATGAGATTTATCAGCTGAAAATACTGTTAAGGCAGATTTACATCAGTAATTGAAAGGCATTGTAAAAAGTCACTAATTCTGATTAAAAATGTTTTCTGAAGATGGATGTGCAATTATTGAGAATATCATTGCGATAAATATCTGTACAAATTTTAAGATTGCTTAATTAAGAAGTAAATAAACTTTTTGACATTGCTGAAATATATCCTTCCCTAAATCTGTCAACGCAAAAGTTAGATGAATTACATTAATTAGTATGATTGTTTTATGATAACCAGTAGCCATTGCACATCTGGGTGCTAATCCTCAGCTGATCTGCTCTTTCTCCACCACAGTTTCTTTCAGTTTTTCCTCAGTTCCTCCTGGACTACAAATACTAGGACAATACCTGACATAATTTCAATTACTAGTGAGTCTAGTGTAAACCTGTATAGAATGGGCATGAAACATTACAGGTGATATTATAAAATGGAGAAATTATTGTCATATAGGCCATACAAGATTCGACAAATTCTGTAATACTGTCTGTTCCTGATGACTGACAATAGCAAATAAGATTCCACTTCAGAAGAGCCATTTTTAATATGGTGATAAAGAAAAAGTTCTCAGCATATCTCAGAGTACTCAAATGAACAAAGAATTAACATAACCTTAAATTCCTGTCTTTTTTGTATTATTCAGAATAGAAAATATAGTGACTACACCCGTAGAATAAACATAATTTATACAATATCATTATGCTCCAAAATAATGCCTTTTACAGAAAAATTGTTATTATTTATTTTGTAAAATTATAACATTTTAAAGCACCTGAGCATATTATTCCATTATGTGCAAGTTTTGTTACTTCCATCTTGTAGCTTGTTTTTCATGAAAGAATAATCTAGAAAAACCTCAGTTTCTCAGTATCATATTTCTTGACTTGCAAACTGACTTGCCTGATGATGAGATGAGATTACCCCACACTTCAGATGTTTGGTAGAATGTAAAAAATATGCCAAAGAATCTGGCCAAGATTGTGTCTGTGGGACGTCCCTCATGTTCAGCATATACTTCAGCAAGAGTTTTGATGTAGACACTTTGTGAACACCACAGGGGCCCAGCACCTAAGCCAACCAGCAGGGCAGCTGGTACCAAGGTGTAAAATTTAGCGTATGCCTGAGCTGCAATGTATGGCATGTAAGCCACCTGTGATACGACCAGCGTCCACTTGCATCCCAGCCATCTAAATACCAAGTTAACAATATTGGTTAAAGACAGTTTAAGCATAAACCAAATCTTGTAAAAATTTGGACCATTATCATACACTGTAACATACAGGACTCCAGAAACATGCTTGCCTACTCACCATCGGCAGCAAGTACAAAAGTATCTGAAAGAAGCACACAGCAAGGGGATTTTGTTATGTGTTTAGTAGATTTAAGTTGTATTTCTGCTGTCCTGAGAACAGAAATACCTGCCTCTATGAATCAGTCAACTTGAACATTGCACAAGTAAATTATCAAACACATCAAGGGCAGAAGGCGAGAAGGGTAAATCAGCGCACTGCATGATCAGAGATGTTGCGTCTAACATCATAAGCAGTAGCTTGTATATCATGCCAGATGGGGATAATGCTGATACTGAACAGAGATACAGAGATACAGACATTTGGGCATATGAAAAATAAAAATGTATATTTGTCAAACCAAATGAGCTTAAGAATTTTCTCCTGTAAATCAGTTATTTTCTTGTGACTGTGCTGTGTTAACAACATGACACCTGTTCATTGCAATCTCATTTCTGGTCATTGATAACGCCTCGTACCACAACACTCAGACAGGCAAACGACCGACGTCTTAATCAAAGAGGACGAAATGAAAGCATGGTTTTTGGAAATAAACATCCCATTTTGTGACGTGTTGAAAGCTCAACTGTAAGATTTGATCAAATTAAATGTCAAAAAAACAAGTATTATGAGATTGATCAGATTTTAGCAGACAAAGAACATACTGTGCTGAGACTTCAGCCTTTCCATCACGATTTAAAGCCCATTGAACTTATTTGGACAAGTGTAAAGCAATGGGTATCAAACAAAAAAACAACATTTAAAATTAAAGATGCCGAGCATCTGTGTCACCACAGATTCGAAGAAAATTGGGTAAGAAAAATAGGATAATGTATGTCAGTATGTGGAAAAACTAGAACAAATTTATTATGAGCAAGAAGGCATAATCGAAGATGTTATCGAACATATTATAATTGAAAATAATGGAGTGAACAGCAGCAGCGGTAGTGATATGTCAGAAAGCGATGGTCTGTGAGGAGAGGGAGAATTGGAAGAGGACCGAAGAGTTGTAAAGAAGATAAAATTATCTAATACTCTCTGCAGTGTTAATTTTCTAGTGATGTGTAGTGTAGTGAAATCGACTTTCCTCTGTTATTTAACGTGGTGATACTTTAATTGGAGTGTACTGTATGCGGTCTGTTGGCATCCCTTCCAGCAAACTTCTGGTAACTGACTCGTTCCAAGGTTCCAATTAACAATAGTTCAGCGGCCAAAAACGCTGGAACGCAATATACACACCGGAAACAGTCACCCTGGGTTTGTAGCACGAGCATGAGTAGTCAGGTCATACTAACGCACTTTCACCTTCGAGGCAGATACTTACCTACTACAATGACTGTAATGGAATTTGAAAACAGTTTCACAGTTGACTTGCTCTGTTTTAAACAACTAGATGATAAAAAAGCTTGTTTCATTCAATTGCATAAGGGAATGGATTTTATAATAGGCTTATATGCACGAGCGTACTTACTTCATTAATAAGACTGGTAAGAATATTGCAGAAAGCGACTGTCCCACGTAGATTGTCATTAGGGCTGTGGTACCCAGACCTCCAGCAGCGTTCACCGAACTTTGCAGATGGCTTGTGCCTATGAATGCCGTGAAGTGCACCATAAAAGCGAGACTGATCATTAGTATGTCTCTAATTATCCGCCATTTTCCAACACTTTTTTCGCCTATAACCACTTTCTTTTTGGTTCTTAAATCCACACCATTCACTTCCAGTGCGGCCCCTGTAAAATTGTGGTTGCCTATCACGGCATTTTTTGGAACTTGTAGGCCGTTTGTGATGTCAAGAGGTTTGTTTGTACATGTTTCACATATAATATCGTTGTTTTCGCCATCAAGTTTCATTTTTTGAATCGAATTATTATAATTTACCTGTGACCAATCAGAATTATCAGTACGTCTAGTTTCTAAGACGCTCATTTGATTTTGTTTCACTGCCAGAAGTATTACGTATAATAGTCATAGCCATCACTGAAACATTCACAACAGAAAATATAGAAGTAATGGGACGTTTAAAATTACTTCGTTCTTGAATCCCCCAATTAGGACACTAATTAAGTCTGTTAATCTATATAAACCTCCGAAGCGATAATTCTGATAACAGGTGTAATAAATGCATTCGCTCTGTGTGAAGTGTATTGTTCTCGGGGTATCACTATTTTCGACTTATCTTCTTAAACTTCAGATACTGCTATAACGACGCGGTTAGGCCTATACGCGGAATAACAAAGGTATGAACTGCTGCAACTTTTTCCAAATGATTACCCCAAGGATTCTCCGAGTTATATTAAAGGTGCAGAATTTGTTGTCTAGCTTAGTAACAATTAGCTTCTCAAGAAGGACTATACTCCACATAGTTTTTTTAGTTACTTGTAGGAATACGTATGCTGACAAAGCAAACTTATTACGAAGCTTATAGATAATTCTAATTATACAAGTGGTACAAACCCAATTATATATACTTGAATATGTTGTAATAAACGATCTTGTGTAATGGGATATGTTACCTGCCATTTTGAGTAGGTCTATATCATTTATAAATGTTTTATGATTTTCAAAACTGAAATCAATGCCAAATGCATACAAAATGCGACTTCTTCAAACAATACGGTAAGAACGAACGTCGTGTAATGTTAAGGCATACTTCAACCAACACAACCCAACGCCAAGCAGTACGTTGCTTAACTACTTATAATGTGTTCATTGTTCTATAATGTACATAATCAGTAATTAAACGCTTCTTTAAAGATGATTAGATAACAGCAATCTAAACACTGTACTTGGGAAAGCGTACAAAGTAACAGCGTGCTGGTAGGTAACATAATTCAATAATATTCTTCTTCTTTTTTAAATCGTACAAACTTAATCTAAGAAAATCGTAGCATTGTCATCTTTGTTCACAACACGCAATAATGTGCATCACAAAAGAATTAAAGGAATGCTAATTAACTCGTAATACGTGAACCCTTATGAGATTCCACACTCTTTTGATAGAAATGCTCTTGACGATACTGAATTCTTTGTCTGCATTCACATCTCCCGTAAATTTGTTCCATATTTTAATGGATTTTTAAAATTAAAATTTATTTCAATCGACACTTTCGGCCCCATTATATTAACATAATCTTATACAATAGGTATACTTATTGTCACGGTATTAAAGGCTCTGTGAGAAGCAATTGAAAGATTTGTTAATAAGGAGGGATTATAAAACATATTCTGACCTTTCAAAATTACTGTGAGGGATCTACGGAATGTAAACAGTTTCTAATTCCAATTTTAGCAATGAAATCGTATCCTAATATTCCAGATTCCATGATTATTAGGGAAGTTCATTCTGTCACTACGTGTTGGCTAGCCTGATATTGAGATTATCATTTTACGTTACGATATACTTTCGGAGAACCACCATTTTCTTTCTGCAAGAATTGCGTTGAGGAAATCTCGGGTTCATTCGTGGTAACTGAAACACTTCTGAGGTAAAATATTTTCGTGTCTTTGGGAACGGGAATAATAATTCTAGTCATTAAGTATTTTTACAACAGATTTCGGGGAATCTGGCTTCGGGAATATATGAGGATATGAATCTGTGGAATAGCAGAGTAGATGAAAAAGAAGTATATGCCTTGGAAACTGAAAACGTTGCCCAAGGACATCAGTTTGAGTAAAGTATAACAGATTATTTTCCGAGTGTGCCTATTCATTTATAAGACTTGTGAGACTAGATTGTTGGAAATTTTGATGTTGGCATAATGTGCACTCTTCTGAAAATGTCTTGCACTAGGATAACAGTTTAAATGAAGTGTAACATTATTTTCTATATAATTTGTGTATTTTTTTATCATGAAGGTTCAACCAGGGAGATGTTTATATATATATATATTGGTGCTCAGAAAGAAGGGCATAATTTAGTACAAACTGTGTTACTATATTTCTCAGAATTCTAAGTATGAGTGAAAAACTTTGTCAGGTGTAACAAGATTGTATAATTCAAGAATACAAGCATAATTGGCAAGAACATGTGGAATAGTTGAATAAATATACCCAAAACCATTTTAAGTTTGGTAGATTGAAATACATAAGAACTTAATAACAAATAACTGGCCATGCTGGGATGATTAAGTGTTAAAAAATAGGACCTGGTTATACCAGTATTTTGTACTTGTGTTACTTTTAGTTATGGATTATGCACAGAAAATATGTTGATTAGCTTTTTCTCATCAAGGTTCAATATTTGTTCCGTGCTGTGTACATCTGTATGAAACAAAAATCTCTACCCTGTTCCTTCAATTCTATTAACAGATGTCTGAATCAGGTCCACCATCTCGACCTATGAAATATCCATACACATTTTCTGCAAAAATTGCACAGTTTCCACTGAAACATTACTTCCAGAACCAGTGGATTTGGAGATACTATTTCATTGCTTTGGCAGTGTGTACTCCAATCTTTTACTCCATTAGTAGATTAGGTAAGTTGATCAGGAGTGGTTAATTTTGCTTAATGCTTTTTTTAATTTTATCTTCGTGTTTTCTTTTTAGAATAAAGTTGGCTATTAATTTTTTAGAATTGTGTAAATTATATTTCATCTTTACAGCTAATTCACCAGAAAATAAGGCAAAATGGGCAGAAATTAAGCGAAAAGAGAGAGAAGAACACCACAACTAACTAGAAACTTCAGTAATAATTCTTGGAGAATGCTGAATTTCCAAATATTGTAGAATTGGTAATTTGTATGTAATTAAGGCAAATAAAATGTGATTTATGAAATGGAACATTAGTGGCCTTTTTAAAGTGTATGAGATTTTGTTTTATTTTATGTTTGAACCATATTAATGCCATGTGCTTGATGTTTCATCAGAAATTGGCAAAACCAGACAGGGCTCTAAAAGTTATGTAGTACCAACAGACAAATGACAGTGGAGTTGAAAAAAAACATCGGAGCAAAAAATGGCATTTTACATGGCAACAGTGGTATTCTGAAAATACTTATTCTCCCAAGCAACTCTCACTTAAAAGTGCAGACAGAATGTCTTGCTTCTTTAAAATGCTGAACATGCCACTGCAAAATTCCTACTCCTTCCCTTCTCTAGCCAAGTATTTATCTTTATACTGTCCCTGGCAAGTGAAGAATAAACTGAAATGAAAACTAATAAACATGATGAATATAAACAATAGAAATAATTTTATAGAATTATTCATTTCATGAATTCTACAGAAGAAACTGTGAGGGTACAAAGAAAAATCAAGACCAGCCTTAATGAGGGAGCAGTGTTGCATGTTTGGCCAGCAGTAATTAGGTCACTCCAAGCAGCTGGCCAGCCATGGATCACTAGCCACTACTTGACTTAAATGCGAGCAATGGTGTAATTGGAGATGTACTGTAATAAGTACACAATGGTCAGGAATGAGTAGTAGCTTGTAGAGCAAGAGCCTATCCAGAGCTGAGAACTATTGTGAAAGAAATACTGGCTATTGTAAAGATCCTGAACACTTCAACGAATACCTCTATGGATAGTTTCACCTACACAGCACTCCCATCAACTGGAAACTGTCTTTCTTTACTTTCAACTGACTGGACTTGCCCCTGACAACTAGCCTGGAAAGGTTTTGTAGCTGTTGGTGAAAGTCCTGCACTATTCTTATAACATCCCAGAAACTAAGAGAAGTTTCTAGCTTGTATGACAGTGCCCCAGAAATGACTGATCCACATCTTCCTACAGGTGGTATGATCCACAGCTGGCCAGCTGTTTGGAATGGTATAATCTCCACTGGCCAAGCATGCAGCAGAATGGATAGTTGAGAAGGCAAGAACACCTCATTATGAGGCTGCATTTCCTGGAATGCACATCATAATAGCATTTCACTGTATAGCTAGAACTACATAAAGAATTACAAAGAAATTTAAAGGTCAAAATTATCTGTAATATAATGACATTTTATCTAGAAGTGATTACAAAAGTCAGTTCCACAATAATTGTTGGGTGGCAGTAAATTGCTATGCCCAAGTGCCTTCTTATGAATATTTCAGATACAGTTTGAAATTGATTAAACAAGAATATTCAGACTCCCTGCCACAAAAACCTCAAACCCTACTATGAATATTTTTATTTCCAGTCATTGCCTTATAGTGTTCATATCCCAACAAAATCCAATATGGCAAAGCACCAGATTATCTACAACCCTTCTACTATAACATTTTCTTGCTGAACGAAGATAATTTGCTATGCTCAATGATGGGAGCAATAATACATTTTCATTTATTAATACTGTGACACATCTGCAGACCCACAGAATCTGAAATAAATTTAATGTCTTCAGACAAAAAATACAGATTCAAATTGATTTAAATCATAATGATGCGAGTTCTAAATAATCATACACAGCTTATGTACTCATTCCCAGCTGGAAGATGTTTCATATATGCTATATAAATATCACTCTATAGCTCAACTTCTTTTCAACATGACAGAGTACATGAACATGGGATGACAATGAAAATGTACAAATATTTTAACTTCTTGGGAATTGGATTAAGAATAGGATAAATAAAGTAGGACCTCAAACTTGTATGTAATATAGCTTGTCTGATGATGAAATACATACGGCAGGTTCAAGAACTATGACTTTTGTTGCCTGGATATGTAAGCTAGTTAAGACTTGCAAGTACAGGCAGCAAGCATATGATCCATCAGTTCATTGTATCACCACAGCACAGAGCTTGAAAATGAAAACACTAGAGAAGAAATTGCTATACAAAGTACTTCAATTCAAAAGAAAGTATGTACCAATATTTGAAGTATCCTCACCTTACAAAGTCTGTATAGGTATAAAAGCAATCTGGCAGCACAGAACAGTGCTCAGGCTTTCTTGGCCAGACTACATACAGCACATCCTTTATCTTCTCTAGAGCTGAAGTAATAATGAAAAACATTAGCACCAATGAGATGCACACTCTCTACTCAGACAGGCTATATACTGATGTGACATATATAAAGGAGCTATGACGTAACAATAAAGCAGAAGCTAAGGAAGGACACTGACAAAATTTATAAATGCATCACTTTCAACAACAAAACAGAGTACTGTGAAATATCTAGTTTCTCTAAATGTGCTCAATAGTATTTATGGAACTCTTACATTGTTGCTTTATTCTTCTTTCAGTATTATACACTAAAATTACGTAAACTTGGCAATGCCAATTTCAAGATCATGCATTAATAATGGTCCCATGGAAAACACTTGGTAATTCCCAATACAAATTCTCAAGGTGCAGGACCACATATACAGCATTTAAATCTAGTAGAAAAATTCTTTCATGGTAAGAAGGCTTAAGTTTGATATAAGACCTTCTTATCAAGCACCAAAGAACTTTTCTCAAACTATACCACCACATAATCATCCTTAATTTGACAACATAAAGTGAGATAAGAGACCCTCCCAGAAGAAAGTCGACATGCAGTGTGTAACTTTTCTTTGCTTACATAAGTAACATTCAATAAAAATAATAAAAAAACTTCTAGCTACCCCACCACTTGAAATTCCTCCATGTAATTATAACTGGTAAATTATATAAAAAATCAGCAGCTGTGATACATACAACCAGTTGACCACAACACAAATATAGAAGTATCAAGAGGCAATGGTGAATTGTTCACTAAATCTGCAGTTGCTCCTGCTGCTGCAGACATTGCATTATATTATTACTGCACACTCACTTCAACTAAGTCTTGCTTTCTTAGCTTCTGGTGGTCGGAGTTCTTCCTCTTTGAGTTGTAATCCAAGCTCTTTGCAACGTTTCTCAAAGTAGCGACCAAGCCGCACACCAGCTCTGGAAATAATTGATTTACGGTTTTTATAGCAAATGGAGAAGACCATTCCACAGTGCTTAAGCATATGGTCCACTTTACAAATGACATTACCAACTGGTTAAAATTGTCCATAGGATTAGGAATTATTAGTATGCATACTTGGTACGTAATAAAGTTCTTAAATTTAAAACTTACTTGTATTCTTGAGCATCCACTTGATTGTACATCTGACAGTTTTCAAACACTAGGAGAGCATCAGCAATGAACTCACTGTTGTTTCTGTACTCCAGCATGTTTAATTTGTACTTCATTTTCCCAAAGTCCATTGGTCTCTTTATAATGAGATGATAATCAGGAACCTGCATGTTAAAGTAGTATAGACATCAATGAACACAGTGAGTTATTTAAGTTTGGAAAAATAAAAAATCAATCAAACCTTGCAAGTGTTATGAAAAATACACATTACTCACCAATTATATGATATTAAAGATACTTTGAACATAATCACTGTAATCATTACAGACAAGAAAACTGACAATGTAACTCAATTTATTTTCCTAACATCAACAAAATACAGCTGAAAGGAATTATCACCTGTGCACGTGGAACAGGGCGGAGAAAGGGCCATGAATCCTTATGATGCATGATGTCAGTAAGTAGATCTTGCAATACAGCATTATTGAGTGGAAGATCCAAGTCCACTTCAAGAGAGCGACGTCCACTTCGTCTTGTTGGCTGTAGATCAGTATCACTTTGGACACTACTTGTATCTGTATCAATAATAAAGCATTGCTTAGTGTTCTTTATAAAGAGGATATCAAATTAACTCATGGAGTTGATAATTTTATAAACATTATGTAGCACACAAAAGGTATCTCTCACCTATTCTGGTAAGTATAAATGAAAATGAATTTCTTATGAAGATACTAGTATCTACCAATATCAAACTAAATAATACATTCTGCAAGCTTTAAGAAAATTACCTAAAACATAGAGGGAAAACCTAAGTTAGAATTCATGTTCTCATGGTAGCAAATACAAAGATGTCTGTCTTCTGGTTTGTTGCACTGTGTAGTTTGCAGAAATTACTGACGTTTACTAACGTTTCAGAGGTGTTTGCTGCCTCCATCATCATAGGATGTTCAACATGATGATGGAGGCAGCAAGCAACTTGGAAATGTTAGTAAAAATCTATCAGACTACACAGCACAATCACCCAAAAAACAGCCTTCTTCAAACTTTAAGTTAGTCTTTGCAGACAACTTAGAACTGGTATCTTCTTTCATTACTTCTCTCATGCAAATACTATGGAGACTTCATGTAACACCTACTGAAGTATACAGAACTGGTTTGATACCCATGATCCATGCTTGAGACCAAGGACAGTACACCCCAAAGTACATACAAAAAATATATATATAAGACACAGACAACAGACATAGAAGAGCATGAAGCTAAGAACCACTGCTAAAGCATAAGTTTTAAAAATTGCATAGTACCATAACATCAACAATGCTCCATATGTAACATTACATTCCACAATGTGAGGATACTTTCGTAGAAACAATTTCTGCTTCCATTTCCTCTGGTGCATATTTCATGGGTACAACAAATTTTCTGACATGAAGGCCAGTCCTGAGGATTGCAAATCTTCAAGAAATTAAAATTTGTGGCAAATAAACCAAGAGAAATTTAATAGAGGAAAGTATGTGCATACAATAAGCTCTGCAATGAAATAAACTGCCCAAAGCAAATATGAACTAAGAATACAGAAATTGTCTTAAAACACAATACACACTAAGCCCAAAAATTACAGCTAATCTTTAAATTTACACTTCTGTAAGAATGGGGTAAACTGAGGAAAAATATTCTTGCATTAAAAAATTCTTTACTTGGTTAGCATTAAGCCACTAAATTTACTTACTTTACTTTACTGAAGTTACTCAGATTACTGTGAAGCCACTTAATAAGAGTTACTCTGTTGTTCCTAAATTGTGTATCTCATAATGAAACTGCCATCAAATTTAATAAGATTATAAATGCAAACACCACATAAGCAAAACAAAATTGTCAAAAATTTTTTAGACCATTCCAGTGACCTCAAATAATAACATCAAGGGACATACTTGCAGGTTATACATTAACACATTACAATAATCATTCAGATTTTACCTTGCATGCATAATAAATTAACAGTGAATGTGAATAATTATTCAAATCTATTCAGAATACTCAACTGATCACAAAAAGCTATAATATATCAAAAATATTTTACTAGCTAGTCATTACCAGAATAATACCAATTTCACACACATACAACACTAATTTTGCAGATTTAAGAGCAGCAATGGTTCCCAACTTATGCACTATTTAGTGAGAAACCAAAGCATTGGAAGCTTTCAGTAAGAGCCACCACTACAATTCCTGTTCTTCTGGCTCAGCTGAAGAGAACAGGCATGTAAGACAAATATCTGTGCATGTTAAAAGCTGTAGGAATAATGGCATACTGGATAAAGGAATAAGCGCTTTTAGTGGTTTTATTAATACATTCAACAAACAGATAAATATGGCATTTGCAGAATGTTTGAAGGCTCAATATACAAAAATATATGAACACACCGTCCCAGGAATTACTCCGCAGACGTTTGGCAAACATGGAGATCTTAGCCACAGCTGCAGTGGCACTGCAACGACGCAGCTTAATTGTCAGCTGTCTTGCGATCTCGCACCCTGCATCTGCAGACCAATCAGAGGCCTTACAGATCTACTGACTACCACATACTCAAATTGGTTTACATTCAGTACTGGAAAATCATATGCGTTACATCTTGGGCATAATTCAGGAATTACCAAGTGTTAAATTTAACATTCACTTTATAAATGTATTGGGTAAATATATATATATATTTATATTATCTAGTATTACCTTCTGTCCCACAAGTTCTTGCTATAGCTAAAAAATTTATATGTATACTTTATACATCTTTTACCTTACCAAACTTATCGCTTTCAACCATTTGTGACTGTAGCAGCACCTAATCAATCTCAAATTTGTTGAGCAGGTTGCTGAAATGACAGCATGTCTTTTAATACCATGCACTGCCATATTTTCTCAACAAAGCTTAAATTTCATATTCAAAATGGCATCTTTATATTCATAGAGAATAGGACATATATTGTTCACAACAGAAGTTGCAACATCTGATTAACATCAACACTCCCAAAGGAAACACGGTGGTTTACAGACAGGATTCTGGGTTTCTATGTAAAACATCTCAGGTATAACATGGGTTGGATCCTGTATGGATTTCTCTACATATGTATTCCATTCCTCATCCCCGAATGTGAGGAACACCAGGTACCTAGTGGTTACAATTCTTATTATCCTTACCTGTGGTAGCAAAGTCCACCTGATAAGTGTGCTTAACTAGGAAATGAGAAGGTCTATACAACTACAACTGGAAGTATTACTCACAATGATCAATAAATCTCAGGAAAAATCCAAATTAATCAATTAAAATAAAATAATACAAAAATTGGTTTGGACCTAAAAGGAAGATAATCATTTTATAAAACAATTAAATACACAAACCAATCATGCAATCTGCAGAGTATTACAAAGTTAAATGGGTAACCCATGTTCTTCAAAAGCCCCATTCCAAAATTACCATCATAAACCAAATAGGTGAGGAGAATCTACAAACACTGGCATGAGACCACTGTGGAAGGCTGGTAATGATGATATAAGACAATTTATTAAAAATATTAAGTAAAATCTGTTTAGTAATTACCATTCTATTCCATCTGATTCTACTTCATGATAAACAAATGGCAAAGACCAAGACAGAGTAGAGAAGGGATAGAAATACAGAAGGTAACACCAAGGTAAAACCATGTATTATATTTTCCAGTACAGGGAAGTTTAATGAGATAAATAATTTAAGTATATCAATGTCTCATACATAAACAGTGGACTCTCCATTATCTGAGCCAGTACCAACTGTTAATTGGGCCACCACGAGACTGGCCCAACCCTCTTCCCACCCAAAATTCTCATTCTGCACAAGTACTGATTTTCTGTGATGGTACCTTGCAAGCTTTTCAGACTGAAAAACCTATTCTTGGTATGAATCATTCAGTTATTGCAATTACTGTATACACTGTAAACATCTGGACTTTGATCATCCAAGGCAGACATGGTCCCATATATCATGGATAATTGAGGTCCACTTTACAAACAAAACTAAAAGCATGCTAGATATTTCATTCCCAGTTTATAATGGAACCCAAAGGTTCAATACTGCATTCACAACGGTTTGACACTAACCCTTCTCCTGACCCAGATGAATCCATTTCACACCTTCATATCCTATTTAAGATCCACTTTTTTTTAGAGAAACAACAACCTTATTTGGCATAAACAAATGAAGAGCAATCCACCTGGACTCACTGGACTGATGCTTCCTTTGTAATTTTTCCTTCTACATGAATTGTAATGTTTTGAGGAGGGGCAGAGTGATAAAACACATTTACATTAATCTGCATTCATGACAGATAAAAATGAAGGTAGTAACCAAATATTATTCTATAATTCATACAAAAACTTTGGTGCATACACTTCTGTCACTTAAAATAAATTCATTCTAACAGTTAAAATTAACACAATACTGCTCACCTTTCACCACTTTGCACTTAGGACAGGACCATTTTCCTCTTGGGACCTTCTTCAATGGTGGAACAACACATTCAATGTGGAAGAGGAGGGGGCATGTGTCACAACACAGTAAATGACCACCCAAACCACATGCCTCGCACACCTCACTCACCTCAGCTACTTTGCTGAAATTAAACATACATTTGCTCATTTTTGTAAGCCAAAAACATATTAAAGCTGGTGATTCTGATATTATGAAAAGAGATACAATATTCTGTCATGATTAATCATGAGACAAGAGCATATAAATAAGCAAGATGAACACTTATATGGAATCTTACATCTCCTTTATTACAAAATTATCTGAGCCATACAAAAGGTTTCTACCATTTTATTTCTTGAGTATGGGTATGATAAAGGATGAAGCAATAATTTACCTCTTTTCAACCTGCCAAATAAAATGAGTTAACAATATACATACTAGTTTTAAGTTCTCTGACATTGTACTTCTTGCATCTGTAAAGTATAGTCAAGAAATGGGCCTGAGAATATTGTCAACGCAAATTTAAAACACACAATTTAACCCAGACAAACATCAAAGTCAGACATTACAGAAATAACATTACCAATGTGGTCATATACTGCAACAAAAATAGAATATTTTTCAGAATGACCAATATAAAAGATAAATCTAAGGAAAGTGCACATAAAAGAAAAAAAGCAGCCTTCCCTGACATCTTCGCGAAAATCTCATTCGCTTGCATGCACACAAATGTATATTACTATTGGAACTGGAAAAGCAAATGCAGTAAAAGGTAATAAGATATATAACAAAGAAAATGAATCCAGAACTTCACTGCAGGATCTAAGTATGACTAAGACTAAGGATATGCTAGGTTTTTGCAACATTTTAAAATAATCTGTGGCTAATGCCAAAAGAAAGTATAAACAACCAAACGTCAATGCCCAGTACTAGTTTAAAAATTTCTTCAATAAAAGAACACAAACGTACTTTTGTGAATCTTGAGTCTTTTCCTTCTGAACATCATCTTCATCTGATTCTTGAGAAAATAGACGCCTCGACTTTTTAGAAGCACGAACCTTTTCCGGTGGTCGACATTTTGGGCAAAACCAGTCTCCATGTGGAACTCTCTATGTAAAGGTATTATTGTAAATGTTAGTAGAGCCTGTTACATTCAAAAGTAAGACATTTATGAATATGAAAGTTTATAGCAATCAGAAAGCACTATATTATATTCAAATTATGTTAATATCAACAAAGATAGGTAGCTGACAGATATAAGATCAACATACGATTAACTTCGGTTTAAGGCAATAAAGATGATGCCCCTTATTGCATCCATCACAAAGCAGCATATTCTCAGCATCACCACGACGTCTACATAAACGGCAGTGAGCATTTGAAGCTGATCTGGACCACTGAATACTGTTAACTGGAAGAATTGAATGTCAAAACAAAAATTTTTACATTGCTTTTCAAATGGTAAACTTAAGTGAAAAACTTTTTCTGCTTACAGGCCTAGGTTTTTTAACTTATGCCTTTCCTTTTGTTACATACTGCCAATAACATAAACCCTTTAAACAGGCAATTCCAATCAATTAAGAATAATCTCATGGATCATTCTGGCAGAAAGAATTTTATAAAATACAAACTATACCAGAAATTATATTACTAATGAGCCGACTTTGGAAAATCATAAAGCAGGTTATCTTGAAGTCACGTGACAGCAAACTACTAAAATTATTAGTAGTCTTAATGCAATCTCTTCACTACTGGGATGGAGATAGTAAAATATGTATATCAAACAGCTCTATTATCCAATCACCTTTCATGAGAAATAAACATTATTTTTTGCAATAAACTGTTTCATAAAACACATATTACAGAGTGGTCTCTTTATAAATTACTAGAATAAAACACATTTTACACAGAAAAAAAGGCATTTAAATAATGTTCACGTGCAACTAAAATAATAAGCATTTTATAACCTAGATATAAACTTATGCTACATTTACAACAGTTCATAATTGTTCTCAAAATTCAACATTTTCAATCAAAAATGAAACACTAAACAACCAACTAAAAGGTTAGGTTTAGCATCTATCAAATATGACAATCAATAGCATGATTCATAATTTAAAGCTTCACTGTTTAAAGAACTGAATAAAGTAAATGAAATAACAATTATAATCTATCACATATATCTTACAATACACTATGTACCACAGTATAAACACCAAAATTCATAAACCTTAGATTCCTCAAAAAGAAAATGTAAACTATATACACATAAATATATTTTTTGTAATTAGGTGCTGAAGACTTTGTCTTATGAAAGTGAAGGTGAATAAATAAGGTTTAATCCTGAATCTTTGCAGTACTGCTGTAACATCTGTAAAAATAGAACTGTTTACATAATATCAACAACAAAAAAACAGCTTTGCTACTTACGCTACGAGACATTAATGAAACTACAAATTCCAAATGTAATCCCACTCATTAATTAATGAAATTTGTTGATTACTTCAACAATAACACTTACCAAGGGTTGTAAAATGAAGAAACAACTGTGAAAAGCTTGTAGAAGCCATTAAACTGACCTCCCACCTTTTCATCAGTGTCTTATCACTGGAACCATCCTCTGCACCTGAAATACAGCATAAGTCAGATGTAACAAGTCCATTTTTAGAATTTCTTTTATACATGGTCACTGTAACAATGTTAAATATAAGAATATTTTACTAATCAAATGACAGTGCCATTTAATTATTTTCCACACAAAAAACACTATGGATCTCTTTTCACAATCATGTAAATATACATCTCTCAAGTCATTATTTAATATGTTCACAGAAGTGTCCATTTTCAGTAAATGCATAAAACTGTATGGGAATGCGGCTGGGTTACTTCTACTACTATTCTGAGTCAGCTGTATCCCATTGGCAACGATCAAATGAAATCTATATATTTATTCAACTGTCACAATGTTCATTTTCCAGTCAGTTTTTGATATGACTGAATAACACAAAGGAAAATGTATCCAAACATGTACATACTTGTGTATATACAAACCATGTACGAATGATAGGGTTATGCAGCAATTTGTCAACAAAGAATCAGAATGTTCATTCAGTTTGGCAATGGGCAGACATGCAGAAATGAAGGGAGTAAAATGGCAATTTGATTACCTATTGAGTTGTTTTGTGGAAAATACAATAAAAGTTGTTTATTGGCAATTAAAGCAAACCTTAAACCACGCTGAATAAACTGCCTTTATTTTTTACTTTTAAATCAGTTTTACTTCTTGCATTTGTTCATCTTACACTATCAAATTAATGTTCGTTATTCTCCACAACCATCTCATAGTTGATAACAGGGTTGAATATACATTCCTATACTATCAGCCACCCACAGGAAAAGGAGAATCGGAGGTATTCAGCATTCTTTTCTTCATGAGGCATGTGTTGTAGGAACATAGGTATAGTATGTTATGTAACAAGATGTGATTCAGCAGTTACATGTTTGTTTCACATTTCTGCACTATGCAGACGTCATGCTTGTTTGTAGGTTCACAATGACAATTTCAAAGTATGTATTCATACAGTTATAAAACCAGTATACATGTCCTCCTTTTGTGAAGAATGTGTAAATTCTCAGTAAGATAAATATGTTTAATTAAAAACGAATACATATATATATATATTAAAATGACTACAGTATAAATGGTGATATGAAATAAACTTAATTATTTGATTCTAGGGGGGATATTACTCTCTCAGAATGCCAAAATATGTGCCAGTTTTCTACTCTGTGAATTATGACTGACTTACCAAGTGGCTTTTGTAGGTACTTTCTTTCTACACTTTGTGCAACTTGAAGGATGGCACTAGCAAGGTTGGTAACCACAGGATTCTGCTGGCTACTTGGTTCACTATCCTCCAGTAATAGCCGACCAGGATCTCTGTAGCATATCTCTGCATCTGTTGAGTTTGGGCTACTACTTCTCTCTATAAAAATAATCAGAATATCAATACAAATTAAGAATGAAGGCATGGTTCTGCAAGCAGCAGCTGCAATATCACATGCAGCGACTGCTGTAGTAGCACTTACATGTACCTGAGTTGCGTACTGTCATGTGCAACCACAACAGCAATAGCTGAAGGGACTAGTCAGTCTACATCTGTCACTGCATTTTTATGAAAAGATTTTCTGGTTTTTGTTCCATGATGAGCAGCAAAAAGCTCATTACATTTAGTTTTCTTCTATAGTTCTTCCTTTCACTTTATTCATTTCATGTTGCTATATATTACTCACCCCTGTTGTCTTGTTCCATTGGAATGTCACTGCAATCTATAGCCTGCAATAAAAGTAAACAACTTAAAAGAAACTGCCCCTTTTGAGTATAATATGTACTAGAAATCCCACTTTCATTATATTAGCATAAAAGAATACATATTTCATTAAACTGACATCATGGCCATATTTTAAAGTTGAAATTCATCTTGCAGAAAAGAACTAAAAATTCTTGTACCTGAAATCTGTACATTCAGCATGTGTGGCCCCATTTTATGAAGCAATGCACCCATACAATTACAAATATATGACAAATTTCTTGAAAAGAACCCTATGATGAAGGAAGACTACTTACATAAAATTGTTAGACCACCTTACATCCTGCAACCCTTTATTACCCCTTCAGTCAAGTTACAAACTTCTAAATACAACATGTAAATATAGTGTCCGTCACATACACATATATTACAATAAAATATCCCGTCCAGCATTAATATTATCAGGATTTGACTAATAAAGTTTTAATTTAAAAATACTAGAAAGACTGGGTAACAATATGATCACACTTTATACATGACATTAAAAGCACAATCACTTCTGTAAAATGATTATATGTGAATGTCAAACTTTGGCAAAACTCACATTAAGGCAACTAACCAATGGGAGAAAGGACAATTTGCCATATTGTAAACTTACATCCTTGTCTTCTTTCTTCAAATGGCTTTCAGAACCCCATACAAGCTTGTCACATTGTTTGTCGTAACTTCTTTTGTTAATGGAAGTCCGCCACACTTCTCGACTATATACCTGCAAACACAGACTCTAAAACATTAGGGATGTTCGACAATTAGCTTTCATGGATGTGTTAAGTCACATTTATTACCCTGATATAGACATCCAAAAGAACAAGGAATAACAGACATTATTTCTACTTTTCAATGTAACTGCCACAGCTACATATCCATAGCCATTCAATTTTCATGAAGTATTCCTTGTTATTTTCAATGTCTATGTTGAAGTAATAAATATGTGCAACACTCTCAGAAACTACTTACTGAACATACTGCATATATCATTTTGTGAAGCAAGACTGAAGGACAGATCATTAATTTAAGATTTAATATATAAGCCTCATGAAACTAGTTACGCTTATCAAAATGTGTTTAAACAAACCATATAAGTAAACATTTGCCTGACATGTTTCCTATTCAAAATGGTATGGATTGGATTCATCTGGCACAGGAAAGGGGCCAGTGGCAGGCTCTTGTGAACATGATAATGAACCTTCAGGTTCCATGAAATGTTGAGAATTTTGTGAGTGGCTGAGCGACTGTTGGCTTCTCAGGAAGGACTTGGCTCCATGGAGTAAGTAATACATAAGCCTAATGGTAAAGAACTTTGGAGAGCCCAAAGGAACTGTTCAGTCATTAACATAATCAAACCAATACAAGTGTTTACTGCTGATACAGTTACTGTTTTTAAACATGGTGCTATTGCAATTCTCATCTAACATATTATGACTATCTTGCTATATTATTTCTAGGTGCATTTGCAACTACGAGTCAGAAAATGAGCATACTAGCTTCATTTTGTCTCACTATTCATATGATACAACTTGTGTCGCATTAGTTTAAAATTCAGTGAAATCAAAACACATTCAAATTTGCAAAGAATTAGGTTGTCACATTTGTGTAACATAAAGAATGTCCAACTTCCAGTAATTTGAAAGAAGAACCAAGTATTACAAATCATAAATACATCATTTTAACATACCTTTAGAGAGCCTAGACCACCAATCTGTATTTTTTCTTCCATTTCTAAAATGAAATCTCGCAATGTTAGCTCCAAGATCTCATCTGTAGGTGTTCCTGGCGCAAAGTTCAAATTGGCATCCTCATGTTTTTGTGAGCGAGATTTCCTTGGTTCAGGAACAAAAGTGCCCTGCATCTTCACATAAAAAACACAGTGTTTGTAAATGGTCTTGTAAATGACAGTCTGTTCATGTGGATTAGTTTCACACTAATAAACATAAGGATGTATGGATAGAGCAGCATGAACAATTAATTCACTGTCATACTTGCATTGTGCCCACAAAAGCCTCGGAATAGGAATTCCCTTTGAAATTTCAAAAGCAACTTCCAGTAAAGGGACAACCACACTGTTCATCAGTTAGTGCTGTGTTGGAGATGTTCACAGTGAAAAAATAAATGGGAGAATGAAATATATTAATGTGTGAAATGGTTGAAGGGTACAAAATTGTAAAACCTTGAGGATTCATAAATTATTTGGAAAGGGCAATTGAATGCATAAAATATAACAGCAATTGATGAAGTTATTAAGGAACACAAAAAAACAACTGGACAAAAGATGGATGTGAGAAATTTTGTATTAGAGAGAGAGAGAGAGAGAGAAAGGGGGGGGGCCCAATCACAGTATTTCACACATCATATGGGACTATAATATGTAAAAAAAGTAGAGGTGTCCCGCTATATGCCATGGAGAGAGAGGAGACATACAAAAACTCAGTTTACGGCCAGACACACTTTAATGCCAATACTGGTAGAGAACAAATTGTGGTGCTCTAATGGGGTATGATTGTAATTATATAAAGAAAGCCTAAACACCGATGCACACACATGTATGAGCATGAGATAACAGCCCCTTATTTCCAGCCTTGAACACAGAGTGACTGGTTTCTGTGGCAACATTCCATTTGTTTTTACAACGCAGTTTGTTGAGGCAGAAATGACTTGCTGGGTCTAGAAGCAAACAAAGAGAAAACTCAATACATATCTTGTCACTACAATAAACAACAAAATCATTTCAAAAAATGCTACTAAATCCTTAGAACATGTGGCAAAGTTCAACTATCTGGGAATGACAGTAACAAATAACAAATTCATTATAAATATATTAAAACAATAAATTTAGGGAATGCTTGCTACCATTCAGTTCAGAATATTTAGTTTTACCAACTGCATCTAAATATACGCAGAATAAAATATGAAACCACAATTTTGTATTTTGTTTCATACGAGTGTGAAACATCAGATAAATGGAAGAATGCAGGTTGAAGATATGAGAACAGAGTGCTCAGGGGAATATATGGACCAAAGTGGGAGCAAATGATAAAAGCAGTTGTTAACATGCTTAATAAAGGACCATATTATTATGACATATGGGGAAGCAGAGATATGGCTCTACACATTCATAACCACATCACTAGATGAAAGTAGTGGTCAGTCAAATACTCCAGATGCTTTATCCTTGGGGAAAGACTCTGGTACTCACTGGATAACAGACTGAGTGGACCACAAAGATAGTATGGACACAGAAAAATCTATGCCCATGATGGAAATCAAATCATGGTCATCTAGTCTATAACACAGTTACTACACTGACTGAGACACACCAGCTCCACACAAACCCAAAAACAAAAACAGCTAATAAAACAGCTTTGGTTACTTATACAACAGTGATAACATGAGCATGCAAATGCCAAGAATGAAAGATCTGAAATCTGTTAAAAACAGATAGAAATTCATGAACACACATGCAGAAGAGACTGGTTCTGGGAAATTTAAAGGAAATTATTTGGTAAATCAAAACCAAAATTCCAGTAAAAAAATAAGTTCTCAAAATATGCTGACCTAATAACTATGTATACCATCTGCTTTACTTTCAGTAGCCTGGCATGTCACCCACACAGACAATTTATACATTCAATTAGTTCCCAGAATAAACAGCAACACGTGTTTTGTTGAAGACACCACCACAGCCTCATTTAAATTTCTTGCTACGAAATCATGACCATCAGCACATAACTTCAATTTTTTCTGCATTACACAAACAGTGTACTTTTAGTCAAATGTGACAGACTATGTCCATAGGCAATATATGTACACATTAAACATGTTTCATTACTATAAAAGCTGCATTTATTTAAAAGCAATATACTATAAGCACATCACACTGCTTTTAAATAAAATCAGCCATTATATGCAATTATAAATGTAAACCACATGTTACTTACTTGGGTTCGATCCAGTTTATGTACTGGACAATTTGCCATTTTCTGTACTATATAAGTCCTTTCCTGCATTAAAGTCTGTCGCAGTTCACTTTCTCGAATACCACGCCTATTAAGGCAATCGATCAAATGATTAATATCTTCTTCTTTACTGAAGAAAGCCCATCTGGTCCGGACAGCTGAATCTGACTGTCCATGCACAGGACAAGTGTTGATATCTGCTGTGCAAATCAAGGGCTGTTGCTTTGTCATGGTCACTTTATCAGAATCGTTGATCGTCTCACTACTTGTCCATGCTATTCTATCACTCAATCCCCTACTTACATGAGACACATCACCAGAATCACTACTTGTGTTTTTTTCAGCCAATAATTTTTTGTTGCCACTAGAAGTAGCCACTGGACGAGCTTCATCACCAACATCATTTTCCTTGTCGCTACCACTGCCTCCATTCCACTCTTCTTCAAACAGCTTCCGGACATATGTCAGAGTATCATCTGAATGAGCTAAAGTAGGATTGTAGGGGGTAGGTTCTGGCAAACATGATCCTGCCCAGTGCTCATCATGCTCAACAAAGAGTCCTGGAAGAGATGAAAACACCCAAAAACGTCGATAAGCACGATCAGTTCCTATGGGTAACACCTGATGTCCAAATACTGCTTGGTGCAATTCACGAGACTTCTTCTGTATTTCCTGTTTCCGACGTGATGATTCACGATCCAGTCTCTGTTGCCGAACTTCTTTGTCCTCTTCTTCCTCTTCTACTGGTAAGTCAGTAACAGGTGCAACTGCTGATGCTGTTCCTGTTTCAGCATCTCCTTTAAGTTTGAGTTTAGCCTCCTTCCGTTCTTTCATCCTAAATTACACAAAGAAATACTTTTTCTACTCATATAAATACACAAATTTTTTAATTACATTTGCAATGGACTGGCCAATTAATTACAAGGTACAGGATTTTCTTTGAGCAGCTGGAAGTTATTCAACAACTAATCAAGAAATTCACTACTCTGATGGAACACAAAGGTACATAAAAGCTCACTACCAGTGGACCATACTCTAAGTTAAAAAGTTCACCTCCTAACAACCTAATTCACATGCCTCTCAACTACATACAAGTAGGTTTCCCCAATGGTCACTTCCCCTGAATATTTTCCAATCAAATTTATGCCGTTTTATGCACGTAACATGTCAAACCCAATATATGTATTTAACCAATGTAACAATATTAAGTTATGGAAACAGGCCATCAATTTAATTACATATTTTATCTTAGGAAAAATATTATATCTAGCACCCTGTATAATAAGTGATCTTGAATTTTTTGGTACACATAATCACTCCAACCGAAATATCAATGGTCCTCTAACATAACTCTAATGATCACTAGAACAATAAAAATTTATAGTAATAAAGAATAATTTTTTATAGTTCAATTTGAAAAAACAATAAAAATGTTCCATAGCAGCCTTTTCTGTGTGTTTGTAAGAGCACAGAGGTGTCAAAATCAGGATGTAACACATGTAATTTTGTACATACCTGAAATTACACACTTGGCAACTGTAAATCAGAGGTGAGACTTGTCTATGCAGGAAATTTCCATCACTTCCCTTTCAGACAAAATCCATCACAAGACCAAAATCATACTCAAGAAAGAGCCTGCACATTCAAAATAAATGTGTAGTTTTCCTAACACAGGAATAGTACACATGAATAATATGGCAGTAATATACCTTATTGCAGCTGCTTCCCTTTCCTTTTTCAGTTCCGCTATTTGATGTGTTCTTATTTCAGCACGAAGCTGCTTAACCTTGTCCCCTCGTTCTTCAATTACATCCCTCACAGTAGCATATGTTGAGATCTGATTAATAAGACATGTCACAATCTGCAACTTATCCACTGCAAAGGAAAACAAAGCTGTTACATAGACTGAATGTCCAATGTCTTAAAATTTATGTTACGCAGTCCTGCACAACATATTAAAAGTCTCCTGTGCTAGCCTGCTTTCAAGCACTTGATATGAAATACAGCACTATTGCTATATATGCTGTGCAAAAGCCAATGAAGAACCAGTTGCTGTGTGTATAAAGCTTTGGGCCCACTCAGCCTCCTATCCAACGGGCACCAGGGGTCCTTTCCCCAGAGGTAAAGCACAGCTGGGACATGACACCAACCGCTCACCCTACATAGCGCCGAGGTTAAGAATGAGCAGGAGCAAAACATCCACCTCCTCCTCCTCCTCCCTCAGCGCCTACGTGGCATACAGCGGGACAGCTTTATTTAATGATATGTAGTACAGTCATGTTCAGACATGAAGGCATAGAAGAAGGCACAGGATAAAGAAAAACAGAAAGAAATAAAGAAACAATTCTATCAAGCACAAGATATTGTAATAACATGTACCTGTCAAAAGAGTGAGATGTACACTTAAAAAAATGGGGGGAAGGAAAGGAGGAAAAGAAAATAACATAAATCAGCTTAAATGTATATCGACCAGTAACATTCATAACGAGTGTACTGAAAACAATGGAAACATGCAAATTTCCTTAATTATTTTTAACAATTTGACTACTGTGCAGCCTGTTTGTTTTCATGAATGATGTGTATGCTCAAAGACAGCCATCTTCCTTAAAGAACAAAATTTATAAACATCAGCCAGAGAATCCCAACCATCCGAGACAACTTTTCACAGTCATGCAAAACAAACATACTTGGGACACTGCAACTTGTGAGTCTCTGCAACAGTGTTTGCTGGCCTGTATAACCTGATGTTACAAGTTCAAACACCTGCTAAAGTACAAAATAAAGACTGATGTTTTATAAGTGTGATTGTTGTGCATGATTCCATATCACAAAAAATTTGAAGGTACTGAACACTCAGTTCACATTAAATATTACAAGACAGAGATCATAACATGAATTAAAATTGGCTACAGCACGGGACATACCTAAAGGTAGATCACACACATTCATTACACTGAGGGATCTAAGAATATGGGGCTGTTGAATCCGTAGAAGTAAACCTGGATCATCCAAACTTGTATAACCACCACGCTGCTGATATCTGAAACAATATCAAAACCAATAGAGTTTCATCCACAAAAATAAAAGGCACTTAAGACTTAATGAACTATCTAGTATCATTCATTTATCAGGAGTTATAAGAACAAAATGAAGTCCTTTGTAGGCCAAAGAAATTCTGCAAAGTATGAAGAATGCAGACTGAAAAGAATTATAGTTTCACTGTAAAAATTAATCTATAGGAAACAAATCACAGTCATTTTTAATCCTTTCAATTTCAATTTCCATTTCCTTACATTCATGCTAACAATTACTTAAACTAGAACAGCAACTTTCAAGTTCGGTCAACAGACGAAATAGTCAAATGCATCCAGATTTAAAACGTAATAAAGTGTTCCAACCTTTAGGTTTAACTTTTCTGACCTACATTTTTAAAATGTTCAATAACCAAAGCTCCTTGTAAAAGTTTTAGAATATTTACAATAAACTACTATCAAATGCATATGTGGTCATTAGTAATTTGTCCCTAGGCTTACAGAACTAGATGGTAAATAAAATAAAATAAAATTACCGTATTTCCTCGATTTTAAGACACCATTGATTGTAATGGTCTATTAACTGGTTGCCACAAGGAGGAGAGGAAAAAAAAGATCCTATATAATTTTTAGATGCAATTAGATGTAAGATGCACCCAAATTACTGAAATTATAAAATGTGAAAAAGAGCGCTGAGGTAATACGGTAATTAAAAATCCTGCCTGTTTATAACAGTTATTTGGTTTCACTGTTAGTTCAAAGTTTAACCTTCACTTGCAACAATAACACTGACTCACTCCTAAAAAGACTTCTGAAATGCACTGCAAAATACTGAAAAAAATAAAAAATTAGAAAACCTAACACAAAGAACCACAGTATAACACACACAAATGATGTGAATGTAGCAATCCTTATATTAATAAAGGCACAATATTAACAAGGCTGCAAATTTGACCAAAATAGGGCATGGATTCAAATATTCTCAAAATCAAAATTGAAATAAAGACCCTTTCTGTTCACCTCCACTTGGAACTCATTTCTCCAGACCGCCCACCAGATGACAGAAGATGCAGCCTTAAAACTTCCGTCAGTGTTATCGAATCTAGTGTCACTTTATTGAGTGGAATACCCTGGTACAGCCGACACCAACTTGCTGCAGCTGTTGCCAACTTGATAGCTTCTGATGATGTAATGTCGCCAATTTCATCAGTCAGGCCAACTAAAACACCATAATATAAAATCCAATGCCTGTGCATAGAATTATAGGACTCATACTTGCATTTCTCTTACATAAACACATCATGATAAAACATTTTGATATAAAGACTGTTAATTTATGTTAGACAGCACACCAATCAACACACCATGTCAACACAAGGAATAAAAATCAGCTTCATAGACCAATTGCCAACCTCTCATGTTTTCAGAAGAGTGCATATTATGCAGGGATCAAAATTTTCAACAGTCTACCATCAAATCTCACAAGTCTTGTAAATAAAAAGGCACAATTTAAAACAGCATTGAAAAGATACTTAATTACACACTCCTTTTACTCTGTCGATGAATTCCTAATGTCTACAAGTAAGTCGTAATTTATCCTTTGTTTGTATTTTTGTGACATTTATATGACTTGTATTTGTATAACATGTATTGTATTATTATGACTTATTCTACATCCTATTGTCATCTGACTAACTTATGGATCCATGGAATGTAATAAAGATGTATGTATGATGTATGTATATGTAATCTGAACAGCGATACATTTTTTGTCAGCCATGTAATGTGTATTGTGGTTATCACATACCTGATGTCTGACTATCCGTTTCCAGTATTTCATCATCTTCTTCTTCCTGCATACTGAACAGTGCCATCAGGAGGAGTTGAATTATATCACTAAGTGGACCTATAAACAAGAAAGAATGCCACAGTAATTTATTATGAAGGACAATACATGTTCCTGGTTTAGTTCATACTTTCTAATTATTAAATGGACAAATTTGGTAAGGTGCCCTACCTAATGATGTTTTCACAAAACTGTAGCATCGCATAAACTCATCAAACGTAAGACCAAGAAAAACATTACAAAAGGTACACAAGGCTACTGGTACTCAGTTCTCAGCAGCAAGCGCATAACAAAGGATCAGACTGGTTACCAAGCAGCCCTGCGGATGAGAAAAGAGACTGTTCTTGAAACATTGGCAGAATATGTGGTTTATTCACAATTCTGAAATCTGACGCGGCTTGTAACCCAACAGTCTTTCATCAAGTGAGTTAATAGTTGCCTTATTTGTATGAACCTATATTTCAATAACTCACCAGCTACTTCACTTGCAGACAATGCGCGTTCCACAATATCAAAGGTCACACCATTTGGAAAGAAACTTTTGGAGGACAAAATATCACCAAAAGAGTGTAAAAACTCCAATATCATTACAAAATCACCAAAGAACTCATTTGGAATAACGCAATCAACCTTTGTAGGAACTGGTAATTCCTGCAACAAATAAAACAAACACTGATGAAATCACAGTGTACTCAGATCATTCCACTAGTGATTAGCGTGCTCGCCACTGGACCCAAGGTTCAAGGGTTCAAACCTGGCCGAGGTCAATGGACTTTAAAGGGTGATAAAAATCTGTAGCTCAACTTCCTTCAGAAGGGAAGTAAAGCCAGCGGTCCCACGTCATAGATTTAAAGCATGTAAAAGAACCTTACGAGCATCATTCAAGATGTTTCATAAGCAAAATTCAGTGGTCATTTCTCACCCATGTCTCTCCTGATTCTCTACTAGATGGCTGTAGCAGACAAATCAGGATTGAATAGAAATTGTGCAGAAGCAGTGGGCTTGTCACTCACTACTCAAATGCACCCTACAAGACTAATAAGGACAAGTTGCCTTGAGCAACTGTCCCGGAACGGGTCAATAGGCCCAATCCTTGTAGTAGTTGATGAAGTATATATATAGTATACAGGGAAGTCATCCCAAGGTATAGGTGAATATGCATTATGCAACCTTATTCTGCAAACAAGGAAAGAACAGTACCAATATTTCTCTATCAGCCCTATACTGTACTACATTCCAGGGCAAAAACTTGTTTGACCTTGAAAGAACACAAAGACAACAAAACAGGAACAGGTTAAAGTGGACCTTGTACATTTCAAGAAAAACAAGAAAATATTAAGGACTTCTCTGCAGCTTGCCTATGATTAGGGACCAAAACATTTCTGATTTTCTTGTTACAAATTGAACATACAATTGGTGTGATGTTAAGAGATTGATTCTCACTGTCATGTGCATCTAAATTCACATTTTCATATTACAGTAAAGGTAGACAATTGCACATTTTTACACATCATATAACACAGAATAAAACTTCTCTATTAATAAATTAAGGAAAAATTACTAATTTTTAGCTTTAAATAGTAGAGACCATGCCCAAAGAAAATTCAACAAAAAAATACCTTCAAATCTTCACATTCCAAATCGTCTCGTTGACGGTTCCACTGTTTCAAAAATTCTGCCAAACGTAATTTTTCCTCTTTCAGTTTTGCTTTCTCTTTCAATTTTTCCTCCACCTTCTTGCGCTTTTCTTCAAGAGCTTTCTCTTTCCTCTCCTCCTTTAGCTTCTTTCTTCTTTCCTCCAATGTCAGTCTATGAAAATTAAGAGAATATTTGATGAGGAACGTTATGTCAAATACTAACAATTAATTTAATGTATTTCTATTTTCAAGCAGTGAATAAAAATGATATAATTAAAATACTATGGTATAATTTTAAATTGAAAGAGAGCTCATATAAGGAAATACAAACCTGTCATTCATGCCTTGTTTCAAAGGGATCATCTTATTCATCTTATGTTTCTCCAAAAGGTTCTTGGTTGCATCTCTTTTCTTTGTGTTTCCTGCATCCCTGTACTTGTCCTTCACCTTCTTTGCTAATTGTTGCTTCTGTGGTGACTTCACAACAGAATCTAGAGTGAATTTCTTAGGTCCCTTCTTTGTAGGAGAAGGTTTCTGAGTATTGGAACATGTTCCTGATGGCAAACTTTTCTTAGGAGATTTTTGCCTTTGTTGAAGGGGTGGTAATTTTTTACCTGAGTTTTCATGTTTCCCAATTTCCAAATTCTTCTTTGAAGGAATATCTTTCTTATTTGTTAGCAATGTCTTCTTGGAATCTTGCTTGCCTATAGGCAAGTCCACTTGCTTCTTCATAGGCCTTGTTTGTAACAACAGATCCTTACCAGCAGTCTTCTGTTTATCTGGAGATAAAATCTTTCTTGATGCTGCCTCTCCTTTCCCAGGTGATTTAAAATATTTATGAATTGTTTCTTGCCTTTTTTCCTTCATCACCTTGTTTTGACCTTTACTTTCTATTTTAGGTGAAGTAATGGCCATCTTCATAATCTTCTTAGATATTTCAAATTCTGGTAGATCTCCACAAAAAATGTGGCCAAAATTTATCTCTGAAATCTTGTATTTCTTAACAACTTTATCCTGTGAATTGCAAATAAGAAAATGTGTAACTAATAAAGTCATTTCAATTAAGAGAGATACAAAAATAGCATTCATGCATAAATACATTGAATAAATAAGTGCTAACATTCATGAGGCCAATGCTTATTACATAAATATTTCAGTAATATAAATCAAAGCCAAGTTTAGTATCTTTAAGAAAGAAGTTTCTTTTTTATTATAGGTTAACAAACAATCACTTGCTAATGCACTTTAACTTCAAACGGTTAAGGAGATACTTTTTAAACAATGTGTGTACAAAATATACCTTTCCTATCTTCCTGTTCTATCTTATCTGTGGTTACAAAACATGAACAGCTCCACCTTCCACTTAAAACATTCAGGTTCACAGAAAATGCAAAGTAAATTTTTCTGTACACTTAGCCTTCTTAATTTATCCTTCTATAGTAACAAATAGTTTGTAACTTTGATAACAAATATTTAAACTAACCTTAATTACCCATACTTTTTGCTTCTGCTCTGTAAATTGTTTTAATAACAAACGATTCTTTTCCCTGGTGTATACTCCTTTGGCCCGCCTTAGCTGACAGGCCTTGATAGTTATCACATCCTCCTCCTTAGAGCTGTTTATTTTTTTCACTCTGTAACTGTAGAGTGATGCAGGTGGAAATGAAGTTGTCTCACATTCTCTCCATGACACTTCACTGGAAATTATATCATATACTGCATATTAATGTATTTCCACAAAGGGACACCAAGACTACACATGTAGCACATGTAGTTAAACATAAACTTGAAGACCTACAATTCACAATACCATCTTGAACTTTGCACTCATTAACCTAAGCTTTACATATTCAACTAAAGCAAACTACAGGCAACTACAGATTATCTCGGCTAATAATGGGGAATGGGAGTGCATGTGACCTGAAATTTTCAATTTTCTTGACATATAAATCACATGTTCTAATATGCAAAGAACACAATTTAACATCAAACAAACACATAACTTGTTAAAATATTGTAACATAACAGTAATTAATGTGCTGAAATGAAAAATGAAAATACATACATCTGAAGGAAATGAAAGTGTGTGAAGGTATCAAAGTCAAATTTGGTAAATTAAATACATACACTGCAGCACATAAAATGTATTATAGATAAATGTAAATACACTAATAACATATGATGCATATATTTTATAAAAGCCACTGTTTCAGTAAAAAAATCATAAAAAGGCTATTATTACCTATTTCCAGAGAGAAGATTAGCAATTTCCTTCTCTGCAGGTGGAATAACTTGTAGGACACAACTCTCACACCTGTAATAATATATTTCCAAATGTATTATGAACATGCATACACAGTAAGGCAATGTTTTAAAAAACATTTATAACAAAACAGACATACCAAATATCTTCTCTGATGTTAACCTCAACAATCTCACCAATAAAGTATCTTTCTCTTGTAAATGTAAAAACATCTTCTGAAAGATCACCAAAAGATGATCTCTGGGTCAGGGATGCCAAGTATAATACTGGTATCACCAACTGCATAAACAAAGAAAATGACAACATACCTAATTTTATAAATAGCTGTATTAACATACATTATGATTTTACACACTGTGGTATCCAGAGAACCAAATTTTTTGACAAAAATTGAGGACATTTGATACATGTATAGAAAATGCCCTACTAGAATCTCATGAGATTAAGGTAACTGTCATGCTGCTATCTAATTTTAAGGCATAGGAAAGACCATGAAAACCAAATGTCAATCAAGACAGCACATCAGGAAAGAGATTTGACTTTGGAACCAACAAAAACCAATGGCATCATACACTGCTTAATGCACTAAGGAGCTACTTCATATTCAGTGAAATCTACAATCTGGTGCAACTGCTCATCTCACAAATCTGTATCATCATCCTACAACAATAAATCTGAGACAGTTGCTCATGCTAAGAGCATGCAAAGAGCTTTAAGAGGAGTAATATAATAAGTATTTTTAAAATGGCCCAGACACTACACAAAAATCTTAAAGTCAATCAAGTTTCATACTATACTGTACCATCAGAGTCCATCCTACTTCAGTTCAGTGGTATGCATGAAAAACTTTCTTCTCTAAAATAATAATTTTTAAGAACAATTTACAAAATTTGTTTTCTGCTACACTTCCTGTGAACATATACATCATGAACTTCATCCACACATACTGGTTTTCCATCACATACTAATTGCAGAATAACCAGAGACTGCATTACTACTACATGCAACACCCTTCCCTCTCTAAAACAGAAAACAAATGTTAAATTATAGTAACAGTTTGACATTACTAATATATGTTACCTTCTTGGGGAAAGTTTTCAAAAACGTGCGAGCATTTTCTTCACTTTGCAGTGCCTCTTGATATGTCAACTGAGGTTTACCAGTCACAGAACAGCACCATACCAAAGAATTGCACAAGATAACACGCTGACAGAACTCCCTGCAAAATATGTCACCTTTAATTACCACAAATTTAGAGACAAACAGTGCTAACATGAATGATACCAATAAACTGCACAGGATTACATCATGCTTTTAATTTGGAATGTCTTCAAATCAATGACAGAATTGAAAAATTAAATAATATTTTTCACACATCAGACATGTCATAATTTAGTACTCCAGATCAGAAACTATAACACAGAAAGACAACTCTGCAACATTTTATAACAGATAAACCAAAACTAGTGTCTCCATTCACCCTTTCACCACCAGTCAAATTACAATCACATTCACTACTTCTCTTATTAGACATCTACACACAAAAAAAATTGACACAGAAGTTTAATTAGC